TCATCTCCCAGTTCCTTCTTCTACCCATAAAAAGGCATATTCAGTCTGAAACAGTATGAAAGAGAGGAGGAGGGGAGCATCTGCATGGAAGTAATAATAATATGAGGCATTGTTGTTATTATTGTTCAGTTGTGTCTGACTCTGTGACTCCATTTGGGGTTTTCTTGGCAAAGACAATGGAATCGTTGGCCATTTCCTTCTCTAGCCCATTTTACAAATGAGGAAACTGAAGCAAACAGAGTAAATGACTTGCCCAGGGTCACACAGCTAGCAAATGTCTGAGGCTAGATTTGAACTCAGGTCTTCCTGACTCCAGACCCCATGCTCTACCCATTGTGCCACCTTGATGAATGTAAGCTATTATTACCAAGAACCAAAAATCTGGATTTATAGACTCTGTTTAGTTTTGGAGGCTTCCCAATGCTTGTCTGTTTGGATCATGCCACCACCCTGGGTTTACACCAGGGATGTCAGAATTGGGCTCATTTCTAGTGTTCATTTAGGTGTTCTCAACTCCCTTGCACGCTCCCAAGTTAGCAAGTCAAGGAACAAAGAAAACGTTTGTTCTGCTCAATAAAGAATTCAAAAAAGACATATAATGAGGATGAGAAAGGGCCACTGGATCTGGCAATTCCAAGATCATCAGTAATTTTGCAGGGAGCAGTTCTGCGGGAATGATGTGATCAGAAGCCAGACTGCAAGTGGTTAAGAAGAGAGGGAGAGGAGAGCCAGTGGAGGCACCTGTTGTAGACAACCTTCTCGAGGAGTTTAGCTACAAAAGGCCAAAGGGGTGTGGGATGAGCAAGGGGACGGAAGCACCAAGTGGGGGTCTTTGAATATGGGGAGATATGGGCATGTTTATAGGGAGCAAGGAAGGTTCCAGTAGATGGAGAATGAGTATTACTCATAGCTTGGGGATGACAGAGGGAGCAATCTGTTGGAAGACATGGGATGGAATGGGATCCCTTGTGCATATGGAGGTGCTGGCCTTGGCTAGAAGGACTGCCTCGCCATGTGAGGGAGAGATAAAGGAGGATGTCATCCGAGACGAGCAGGAGGGGAGAAGAGGGAGCTCTTGATCGTCTCCTTCTTTTATCAGTGAACTAGGAGCTGAGCATCTGTAGAATGAGGAGGCACAGACCCTAAATGCCCCAGGAGCAAAGCCTACAGAAAAAAAGCACCGTTCACCTTCAGTCCTTGTGTCCTTGACGTCTGCCCTCTATTCATGACGCTCCTCCCTGGGCTCTGCTGGGCCGGGGCTAACCTTGGCTCCCTGGGTCTGTGCCTATCCACGACTGGACTCTCAGTCACTCCTTAAAGCTGCTTCCTGCCCTCTGATTCTTCTTCCCAATTTCCATCTGTCTACCTCCCTCCCTCCAACTCTGTGACTCTGTTGAACTCTTCCTTCCTGGATATGGGATTTTCTAGTTAGCAAGTAGCTTTGCTTCAAGCACCAGAATCAATGGGGGGGGGGAGGAGAAGAAATGAGGAGGAAGGAGGAGGAAGAAGAGAGGAGAAATGAGGAGGAGAGAGGAGGGGGAGGAAGGGGAGGAGGAGGAGAAATGAGGAGAGAGGAGGAAAAGGGAAGAGAGGAGGAGGAGGAGGAGCAGGAGGAGGAGAGAGGAAGGAGAGGAGAAATGAGGAGAGAAGAGGAGGAGGGAGGAGGAAAAAAGAAGAGAGGAGGAGGACAGGAGAGGAGGAGGAGGAGCAGGAAGAGGAGAGAGGAAGAAGAGGAGAGGAGAAATGAGGAGGAGAGAGGAGGAAGAGGGAGGAGGAAGGAAGAGGAGAGGAGAAATGAGGAGAGAGAAGGAAAAGAGAAGAGAGGAGGAGCAAAAAAGGCCTCCCACTTCCCCAGAACAAGAACCATTCCCTTTCAGGATCTGGCTTCTTCTCAGACCGTTGGCTCCTGCCTAGACTGATTGCCGAGCTAACAAGCTAGTTTCTTAAAGGAAACTTCTCCCTCCACTTCCCCCCTGTTTAACCTTTGTTGTCCTCAGCAAATTCCCAGGGGTACTTTGAAGTATATCTGTCCAGGTTTGCCTCCTTCTAGCTAAATCTCCAGTTACTGGGGAAGGCTCAGGCATTATCCTCTGGAATGCTATCCCCAGTGTCATACACTAAAGAATTTCATCACAATCCAGGTGACACAGTCTGTAAATAACCTTAAATTTACATTCTCCCATTGAAATCTACTCCTACCATGGCCAGTGGCCTTGAGGATTACGTTTGTCAGTTTCTCCGCGACACTGCTTCTCTGAGCACATACAAGGACCTAACATAACCCAAAGACAATCAGGAAAAGAGAAGGAAAACAAACTTCCCCTTCAGAGGGAAAGTCTGGTCCCAGTAGGGCTTGGATCAGGTTCAGGGACCTGGCATTGACTGTAAGTCATCCCCAACCTTCAAGTAAGAAACCACGCTATGCTGGGGAAGCATTTCTCTAGGTCCCTGCAACACATAGGACACTCAAAATATTTCCTTGGATCCCTGGAAAACACAAGGCATTCCAAATGGAGATCTGAACTCACCTCTCACTCAGACAGGCAGACTACCTTAAAAGAAATCAAAAACATTGGGGTTGATTCGTTAAAGCTTCGGAGCCCTGGGCAAACCTGCAGCCCAGAGGAAACTCACACAAGCCATTTGGACTCATTCCAAGTAAGGCAAGCCCGAAAAGTACTCTCGAAATTGAAAAAAAAAATGATCATGGATGAACTCTGTCAGAATGCTCTGGGCAAATTGCTAAGAAAGCTGATATTCTATTGCAGCTGAGGCTAAACTGGCCTGTGGGGGGCCATCCCAGGGAACATAAGAATGTGACATAGATACTGTTCAGATCAGCTTCCATACTTATAATTGTCAAGATAATACAATAGATGCCAGCACTGGGCACTCACAGGTTTGCAGGTTGGACTCAGGGATGAGGGAGGGGCTGACTATTCCTTTGCCCAAGAGAGGGTCTGTAAGTCCATTCTCTTAAAAGCTATAGCTCACAAGCCCCTACTGATGAGTTTATCTTTTCTAATTAGCCAATAGACAGCAGTCAAAACACATGACGAGGAAGATGAGGAAGACCACAGGCTCCAAGAAGGGCCAGTACCCTCTGGCTCACATATCTGATGTGCGGTCACAGTCTGGAGCAGACACTTTGGAGGAAGCAGTTGAGCAATGGGCAATGGCTACGTTTGGTACGTGTCACCCAATGCAAATGATAGTTGCATCAACCCTATGAAGGAGATCACCCACACACTCTTCCATTTCACTTTCTGGGTCCGTGGCTTAAGGCTTAAATACTCACAAATCCTTCACACCCCTTCTGCCAAAGAATTTTCGAAGTATGCACAATTGTGTGAGAAGAGTTTTCTTTGTCCAAGCATCCTCCAAAGACTGAAGTAAAAGCGGTAACATGTTCAATGATGCAGATTTAAGATTAAGGGGAAGCCATATTTTTGTTTTTTTGGTTTTTTAAATCCTTAACATTTAAAACATGAAGAAAATAGTGAATGAAAAGTTACTGGGTTTTTTTTTCTTGAGGAAAACACAGTACAGTGCTGGGGGGAGGAGAGAGAGGGAGAGAACAACTATGAACAGCTATCCTTCACTATATAGAAACTCATAGGATGAATGTTCAGACTCCAAGAATTAGGAAATTGGGAAACAGATACATTCTATCTTCTAACTTACAGAAATCTTGAGACCTCAGGATGTGTTTCCTCACTTAGGAATTCTATGCTAAAGTGACAAGAAACTGCCTTCCTCCAGTACTGTGGAGACTTTTCAGCCTTTGGCCTAGGGGGTAGAAACACTAACCCTGCAGACTTTTCTGGCCCCGGGGGTGCATAAACTAGCATTCGGGAGGTTCCAGAGGACCCAGGAGAACCACATCCCAGGGAACAACAAAGTCAGGGCTCTCACTTTCCCCAATCAACCACAACTCTTATTTTTTGAAGACGGCAGTTATTGGTAAAATGGCTTTCAATAAATCTCGTTTCTCATCAGAATGTACGTGTGTGCATACATATATATAGTCAGTCAATGAACACGACTGGCTCAAGGCAAAGATATTTACTAAGACGACAGTGTACCAACTGTAGACACAGAACAGGATCTACTCTAGCGACAGCCCCAGCCCACCCCTGCTTTTCAGCTTCTCCCGTTGGAATGGAAGCTCTCTGAGGAGTGGATTGTGGACTGATCCGACAGGAGCTATGCCCAAAGAGTTACTAAACTGCCTGGACCTTTTGACCCAGCAGCACCACTACTAGGTCTCTTTCCAAAGGTGATTAGGGGAAAGGAAAGAACCTGCGCTCTAAAACGCGTACAGCAGCTGTCTTTGTGGTGGCAAACAACTGGTAGTGGGGATGCCCTTCAGCCGGGGAATGGCCGAACAACTTGTGGCGTGTGATTGTAATCGAATATCGCTGTGCTATAAGAAATGATAAGGGGGCAGCTTCATTCAAATCTAAGAGACTCGTGCAAAGGCGCCGTGGGACCCACACAGTAGGTCTACAAGGCCTGGGGCGCTGATGGGAGGGTCCCAGACTTGAACCTGGCGTTTTCCCCTCCAAAACAACAAACAAACAATTTCTAAAAACTCCTTCGGACCGGCTCAAACTCTCTCAAGGTCCAAGGGCTCTAGCTCTCCATCCCGCCCCGCCCCCCCAGGCTAAGGGCAAGGCCCGTCCCACGTGATCCCATGACTTCTCGCCCCGCTCCAGTCCCAAGAAGGGCGGTCTCTCCTCGTCCAATCCGAGCCCACGAGAGTCCAGCCAATGTGCTTATCACTTCTGGTGGGCGGTGGGGGGTGGTAAGTCTTCTTCCCAAGGTGGGTGTGTCCTTACCACATTCCATCCAATCTTATCCCGCGGTGGGGCGGGTCTCTCGCTCCAAAGTGGGACCAAAGTGGGCGGAGCTCTGACTCTCCTCGCCCAACGGGGCGTGCCCCGGCGGCCTCCTGCCCACTCCCGTTCCTCCCCCTCCCCGCGGTGGGCGGGGCAGGCGTACTTAGCCCTTGGAGGTCTGGCCCTGGGAGGTTGGCTGCCAAGCAGCGGGTCTGAGCGCAGGCGGCGGAGCTATGGCAGCGGCGTTGCTGAGGCGCGGGGGCCGGGTGAGCCTGGGGGCCCGGGGCGGGGGGGATGGGGGTGCCCCTTCCCCAGCGCCCCCCAGAGTTCTCTGCGTCCGCCTCCGCCCGAGGCCCACCTGGGGTGCCCGGGACCCCGGACTGCAGGAAGTGAAGGGCCGCCGAAGGGAGTCTTAAGGCCCAGGATTAGGAGTTAAAAGACCCTTAGAGGCAGCACAGACCTAGCCTTGCCTTTGGCAGATGGGGAAACTGAGGCCCAAGGCAGGGACATGATCCGCCCTGGCCTGAAGATCCACCAGCGATGGGCGGGGGTCGCTCGGGACCTCCCGCTCCTCCTCTGTTGAGCTCTCCTCCCCAGCAGGTGCCTTAGATGCGTGGGCAGCCCCCAGGTCAGAGGTCAGCGGTCAGCGTCCAGCCCTTTGGGCGCCTCAGGCTGGTGGAAATGCCCACGGGGAAGACGGGCGCTGGCTGCCCGGGGAAGGGGCGGTGGAGGACCCCGGTGGTGACCTTGGGGCCCGGACTCTGGGCTCTCAGCAAGGGACAGGGGCGGGGCTTCCTCCAGAAAACAGCCGGACCTGCCTAGAAAGTGGCCGAGGGCCACCCAGGTGTAGGTGTGGGGGCTGATGGGCTGAGGTCGCGGGGACCAAGATCCCCAGAAGCGAGCGGTGCTTTGTGGTCCAGGGAGGAGCAGACCTAGGCGAGTGTCCGCTCCCGCGCCTTGTCCGGGGCAGCCCCTGGGCCGGGGCAACTGGACCGTGACCAGCCCTGGCCCTGGCCCTGCTCCCCGCTGCGGCGGCCAGATCAGCACCGTCTCTTTCTCTCTGGACAGGCGCTACAAGGCTTCTGGAGGTCCCAGCACAGCAAGACTGAGCCCAAGCCGGAGGCGCTGTCGGGTTTTAACTTTGGTAAATATCACCTGGGCTGGTCAATATCTTCCTGGCTGCTGCCCACGCATGTGTCTTTGTTGTTGTGTATCGGGTCTGGGTCTGTGTCTGTGTCTGGCAGCCAGCCCTTGGTACTTGGGTCGGATATACCTACTCCTCTCCGCCCCTGGTATGAAGACCGAACTGGCCGCAACCACACCCTCCCACCAGCAAACATCCTGGAGGCTTACTGACCCAGACCCGCACCGGAATCACGATGTATCGGGAGTTTGTGTCTAAACTGCTTTTGGGAGCTCACAGTTTCCCTTACAATGATGAGAGCCTTCAAGCTGGAGTGTCCAAGTCAGTCAATGAACATTTACCAAACTGAGGGCTCCTGCCCTCACTAAATTTAACCTGGCCCCAGGAGAGATCCACAAAGTCCTTGGGAATGGGGGCAGGCTCCGCCCAATGCGAATTTAGGGTTAGAGTAACCTGGGCCTGATCCTAAATGCCCAAGGAAGTGACAGAGAGGTGGGGAGGGCCCCTCCCCTTCCGGGAGCCCCTGGCACAGCAAGTTGGGGCAGCCTGCAAAGGGGAGGAAAGCCAGGGCTCTCACTGGAGGAGCTCATGCTCTCCATCCCATGGGCAAGCAGAACCTCATTTCCCACTTTTCCTGGGTGGAAATCTGCACTTGAGCAAAAATAGTGGTTTGCATTTCACCCTCTTTCTTCTACTTCCATACCCCCCCCATGTGAGTTGCCCTGGCATCTCTGCTCTCTGCAGAAAAGGGTAGTATCATGAGCATGTATTAAGCACCTACTGTATACCAGACCCTGTGCATGAGAGTACACGAAGGGCAAACACAAGGTCCTAGTCCTCAAGGAGATCACAATCTAATGGGGGAGACAATATGCAGGTAAGGGTCTCCAGGCCAGAAGTGGACTGAGGAGTACTCAGGAAGTCGGGTGACTGAGAACTGGGGGGGGTTAAAGGGGGTTGAGCTGTGTCAGTGTGAGCAGGAGTCTGGGATGGTGGGGAGAGTTCACTTGGAGTCAGAAAGCCCTGGTTTTCTCCCCCCTCCATAAAGTAGACAGAATGTCTGGAAGAATTAACTTGCCGGCTTGTATTATCTGTCACCCAGGTGTTAGGAAGCAGGCAGTCTGGTTGAGATTATTCACACTAAGGTGTGAAAAATAATCTTCCAACTTTTCCAGAAAGACTTGTATTAAGCAGAATAAATCTCCGGTAGAATTTCAGAAAAGAGGACAAAAATGAAGTGAGAGCATTTGGATCAGATGTGGCTGATGTTTGGGTGTGTGGGGATAAGCCAGCCTCTTTCCCTCTGTGCGTACATTCTCTTCTGTCCATGTGCCTTCATCCTGGCCCTCTGGAGGAGCATCATTTGTGGGCTGGGGGCAATCATAGAGAGATGGTCAAAGTGTGGCATTAGGCCAAAGGCAAGGTGGCAAGTCTGGGGCCTCTGTTTCTTTTTTTTTTTTTTAGGCAGTTGGGGTTAAGTGACTTGCCAAAGGTCACACAGCTAGTAAGTGTCAAGTGTTTGGTCTGAGGCTGGATTTGAACTCAGGTCCTCCTGACTTCAGGGCAGGTGCTCTATCCACTGCACCATCTAGCTGCCCCTGGGGCCTCCATTTCTACTGTTCTGGCCCACACCTGCCTCCCCAGAGTCAATAAGGAAGCAAAGAAATAGGACTGTGGCTTTTTGAGCAAGGGAATGACCAGTGCTGAGTGATGAGAGCAGACTGGGTGGTGCCCTGGTCAGAGATTTCAGGCCAAGAGAGGAGTGATTACTTGCAAATAAACAGCGTGGTACAAGTTGGTCTGCTGTAGTGAAGAGGCAGGTTTTTCAGGGCCACGTCAGCCCCTAAGTAGATCCTGAGCCAGTAAAGAATCAGATCAGTGTAGAGAAGGAGAGAAGTGCTGGTCTCTTGGTCAATTTTCCAGTCCAAATGGAAACAGTTGGGAGGTGTCCAGGGTTCTGCATTACATGCTTGACATCAGTTGTGCTGTAAGTGAGTTCAGCGTTTGGAGCCTGAAGAGACAGGAGGAATTCTGTATGAATCCTTTATATGTAGACTTCCATTTTAGTGTGCTAGACCTCATTCAAAGCTTGTCTGAACTAGAGATTCTCTCTTTCAAATAATCCTGCAGGGACTGTCTTTGGGGTGCAGAGGGCTGCTCCCTCCGTCGTGGAGCACAAGTCTTTTTTCTTTAAACACTGGGTGTTCTGCAGGTGAACACCCTAGGTTCTTAATCTAAGAGCTCCCGAGGCCTTAGCCTGGCATGAATGCCTCCGTGGTCTTCCTCTCCTTGTCTTTCCCCCACATCTCTTCATGGCCCCGGGGCATACTGGGGAGTATATACATACCGTCTCTGTACTGCTGTGTGTGCACACTGTGCTCTCAGCCTGCAGTGGGTCCTTTCCTTTTCTGCCGTCTTTCCAGGCCCTGCTGAAGGGCCGCCTCCTCCGTAGCCCTTTCCTTCTGTCTGAATTCTGAGAATTCTCATATTCTTGGATCATCCTATGCCATCTTTCACAGATGGAGGAACTGGGACCCATGAAGGTCACGTGACTTGTCCAGGCCCCTGCAGGTGGTGGGCATCCAGCTGTCCTCTTTCCGTGAGGCTTCCTTCCTGTGACACTTGCCCTTCGCTGCCAGGCCTCTTTATCTGCTGATCTGTGTATGGGAGCGATGATTAAGTATCAACCTGTTTTCCTGTGAGACATAGGACATCGATTGTACTGATTCATCATCACTTTCCAGAGAGATGGCCCCTGAAGGCATATATTGTACTTGTCTACATCTCAGGGCCTGAACACTAAGTAAACACTCCAGAGTCTCTGTTTTGTGAAATGGTAATAATTAGAATGGGGCAGCTGGGTGGTACAGTGGGCCTAGAGTCAGCAAGATCTGAGTTCGAATCTGGCCTCAGACACTTTCTAGCTGTGTGATCCTAGTCAAGTTACTTAGCCCTCTTTGCCTCAGTTTCCTCATCTGTCAAATGAGCTGGAGAAGGAAATGGCAAACCACTCTAGTATCTTTGCCAAGAAAATCTCCAATAGGGCCGTGAAGAGTTGGATGTGACTGAAAAGTACTGATCAGCAGTAATTAGAAGAATTGTGTTTTGGTGCATTGCTGTCTTGTGACCTCACCTCCATGCCCATCTGGGTGTAGGATAATCCGGGATGGGCTGTGAGGGGAGGTGCACGCTCCGGTTAACCAGTGATGCCCAGGTGCCCACTTCAGTTTGTGGTTTCTTCGCCCTGTTGCATTAGCGTCCTGGTCAGGCAACCACACTTGCACCATGTACATGCCCTTTCAACACCCAGAGTTTCTACCAGGCCAGCCTTGTGGGCCTCCTTTTTACTGACTGATCTCCCCGTAGAGCTCACTGAGCAGCAGAAGAAATTCCAAGACACAGCTCGAAAGTTCGCCAGAGAAGAGATTATGCCCGTGGCGGCTGAGTACGACAGAACTGGCGAGGTCAGTGTGGGAGCCCTGGACGGCACCAGAGGCATGGGTGGCGCGGGAGGAGGGTGGGATTTGGCTCAGTGTTTTCACTTTCTCCCCAACTCTTTTCTTGTAGTACCCTGTTCCCCTTATAAAAAGGGCTTGGGAGCTCGGGCTGATGAACGTGCACATTCCAGAGAGTTGTGGTGAGCTGGTTCTTTTGCCTGTTTTGAATGACTGTTCAGTTGTCAGGGTGAAACGGGCAGGAAAAAGAAGACAGATGTGTGGTTTGCACCTCCTCACGAATCTGCCCAGGAGATGGTGATGCCCAGGTTAGAGGGCAGCTCCAGATTCCACTCAGAAACTGCTGGTTGAGTGCCTGCTGTTTGCCAGGCTTGACTAAGTCAGAACATGTAGGTCACACTGAGAACCAGCATTCTGCTAAGACTCCTAACTGACATCCCAGTCTCTGTCTCAGTCAATACCTCTCTCTCTGTCTGTCTCTTTGTCTCTTTCTGTCTCTCTGTTTCTATCTCTGGTCCCCCTCTCTCTCCCTCTCTCTCTGACACACTCTCTATCTCTTTCTGTCTCTCTCTGTTTCTATCTCTGTCTCCCCATTCCTCCCTCACTCCTCCCTTTCTCTCTCTCTCTCTCTCTTTCTCTTTCTTTCTGTCTCTGTCTGTCTCTCTGTCTCTTTCTGTCTCTCTGTTTGTATCTCTGGTCCCCCTCTCTCTCCCTCTCTCTCTGACACTTTCTCTGTCTCTGTCTGTCTATCCCTCCCTCCTCCCTTTCTTTCTCTCTATCTCTCTGTCTCTATCTCTCTGTCTCTCTGTTTCTATCTCTGTCCCCCCATCCCTTCCTCCTTCCTTGTCCCCACCCCCTCTCTCTCTGACATACTCTCTGTCTCTCTCTCTATGTTTCTATCTCTGTCTCTGTCTGTTTCTATCTCTGTCTCCCCATTCCTCCCTCCCTCCTCCCTTTCTCTCTCTCTCTCTCTCTTTCCTTCTGTCTCTGTCTGTCTCTCTGCCTCTTTCTGTCTCTGTATCTCTGGTCCCCCTCTCCCTCTCTCTCTGACACACTCTCTGTCTCTGTCTGTCTCTCTGTCTAGATCTCTTTCTGTCTCTGTCTCATTTCTGTCTCTGTATCCTCCTTCCTCCTCCTTCTCCCTTTCTCTCTCTCTCTCTCCCTCTGACATTCTGTCTCTGTCTCTCTGTCTCTATCTCTTTCTGTCTCTCTCTGTTTCTTTCTCTGTTTCCTCATTCCTCCTTCCCTCCTCCCTTTCTCTCTCTCTCTCTCTCTTTCCTTCTGTCTCTGTCTGTCTCTCTGCCTCTTTCTGTCTCTGTATCTCTGGTCCCCCTCTCCCTCTCTCTCTGACACACTCTCTGTCTCTGTCTGTCTCTCTGTCTAGATCTCTTTCTGTCTCTGTCTCATTTCTGTCTCTGTATCCCTCCTTCCCTCCCTCCTTCTCCCTTTCTCTCTCTCTCTCTCCCTCTGACATTCTGTCTCTGTCTCTCTGTCTCTATCTCTTTCTGTCTCTCTCTGTTTCTTTCTCTGTTTCCTCATTCCTCCTTCCCTCCTCCCTTTCTCTTTCTCTCTCTTTCCTTCTGTCTCTGTCTCTCTGTCTCTGTCTGTCTCTCTGTTTGTATCTCTGGTCCTCGTCTCTCTTCTTCGTTCTCTGACACACTCTCTGTCTCTGTCTGTCTCTCTGTCTATATCTCTTTCTGTCTCTGTCTCGTTTCTGTCTCCATATCCCTCCTTCCCTCCCTCCTTCTCCCTTTCTCTCTCTTTCTCTCTCTCTCCCTCTAACATTCTGTCTCTCTCTGTTTCTATCTCTGTCTCCCCATTCCTCCCTCCCTCCTCCCTGTCTCTTTCTCTCTCTTTCTCTTTCCTTCTGTCTCTTTCTGTCTCTCTGTTTGTATCTCTGGTCTCCCTCTCTCTCCCTCTCTCTCTGACACACTCTCTGTCTCTGTCTGTCTGTCTCTCTGTCTAGATCTCTTTCTGTCTCTGTCTCATTTCTGTCTCCGCATCCCTCCTCCCCTCCCTCCTTCTCCCTTTCTCTCTCTTTCTCTCTCTCTCCCTCTGAAATTCTGTCTCTGTCTGTCTCTCTGTCTCTGTCTCTTTTTCTGTTTCTATGTCTGTCTCTCCCATTCTCTCTGTCTCTCTTTTTCTCTCTCTGACTGTCTCTCAGTCTCTATCTGTGTGTTTCTTTTCTCTGTCTCTGTCTCTCCATCTCTGTCTCTGTTTCTCAGAGATGGTTGTAGAAGTTCCTGTGGTCATAAAATAAACCTGCCAGAGACAACTCCCCTCCCCCACTTCATTCCCTACCACCTGAGTCCTTATCTTTCCCAGAGTGTTCCTCAGGCAGCAGAAACACTTGCCTATACTCACAGCCTTAAGCCGTTTTTGTGTGGGCACTGCCAGAGGGGGGACCTCATGCTGCTGCAGCCTTCAGGAAGCAGGCTTACTTCCAGCCCCAAGGAAGCTTAGGAGTAGGAGTCTGGTAACCGAGTACCAGGGCTAGGCCAAGTCGGAGGTCCAAAGTTGGAGTCACCTATGCTTTGGCTCTGAATGATTCCCTTTGAAGTAACCAAATGGTTACAGACACATGTTTTAGGTCGGGTTACAGTGCGTTTGACCAAATTTGTGATGTTATCACCTTGTGAGGAAAAGGCCTCTGCCGTCCCCAGTCTTAGGGAACTGCCTGGCCCCAAGGAGAGCCTGCTTCCTCCCTAACCACAGTGCTGGGGCTCCCTCGCTCCTAGGCACGAGGACACATAATGCATGGGGAGGGGTGTTGGAGGGGGATGTGACTGAGATGCTGAACAGGATTGGTCCAAGTTTCCTTCTGAAAGCTCTGGCCATTGTTTTCTGTGTCATATGGCTAGGCTAGAGTGTGTATCAAACCCCATAGGTGGGGTCCCTCTGCAGAAAATGCACCCTTGCGTATCTGGCATTGAGGGCCTTGTCATGTCTCATTGGCTGTGACTTGGGATTCGAGTTTTCATCTCCAGAAAGACAGCTTGCCAAGGCGGTGACTGAGTGCTCCCGCGCTATTCCATCACGGAGGCAGCCTGGCCTTCTAAGATGAGGCCAGAAGCCTTGCATCTGGTCCTGCCTCCACTGTGCTCTTCCATGGAGGAGGGGGAGCTGGAGTCTAGTGCCAACCCCTGGAAGCACAGCAGGGATGGAGCACTTGGCCATAAGAAAGGACTTACCCTTGGGCCTTACCACATCTCCTTGGAACCACACTTTACCAACTGCAGCAGTAGAGTGGCCCACGTGGGCCCCCAGGCATGCCCAGAGGGTGCCATCTTGTGGGCTTGTGGGTAGGCCCTGCATCCCTGCCATGGAAAATAACATCAGCAGACAGGAAAGAAAAACAGCAGCCCAGAGGACGGAAGGCCCACGAGCGTGTGGTCTGTGTGCCCTGGAGTCATGCTGGACCTCTGCTGGCTGGCCTTCCCAGACTACCTTGGAGACCCTGCATCTGTGATCCCCTGTAAAGTTGAGGAAGCTTGAGGCTCAGACTTGTGGCTGGTGAGGGGCTGCTGGTTGGATCTTGGGATTCCATGCTCCGCTGTCTTGGGGCTCTGAGCCGTGGTCACCTGCCTCTGCCACACAGAGCCCCGGAAAAACTGCTCAGTGAGCCCAGCCTGGCTGTGGTAGGTGGGGACCTTTGTCCCCCTTGCTTCCTGTCTGGGCTGTGCCAGGGCCCCACCTGTTTTGGAAGCTAATTCCGCAAACATGTTGTTTTCATTGGGAGTAATTCCTCTAGTCCAAACCTGTGTTCCGAAGCCCTGGCGTGTCATTCCCTATTTATGTTTCCAATGTTGACAGGTGGCCTTGGCCTTGGGAGCTTCGATGCTTGCCTGATTACTGAAGAATTGGCATATGGGTGCACGGGCCTTCAGACTGCCATCGAAGGGAATTCTTTGGGAGTAAGTGACCCTGGCTGTGACTGTGCCACAGAACAGGGGGCAGGGGCAGGGAGAGGAAGCCCTGGCCCGGCACTATCTGAAGGAAGCTCTTGAGATTGCACTGGACAGTGTGGGTCATTGGAATGTCATTTCTAAAGTCCTTTCCCATTGGCACATTCCAAAGTTAGAGAGAGGTATCAATGGGAAAGGGATGTTTTTAGACCCCAGGGATTATAAATTCCACTCTGGGGTTTATATTGTAGTCTCTAATAGTGCTTGGCCTGCTGAAAGTTTACACTCCCACAGTCTCTTATAACACAGAGGGGTTTTGAATCATACGCTCTTACTTAAAATATTCTAGCATCCTAGATAGGCCTGAACTTCACTTGTGATTGATGGCTGAAGAATTCAGCTGCTTCTGGGCCTCCTGGGGGATCGATCCCTGTGTTCCCCTGTGGCCATCTCAAGACTGCCCTCTCTGGGCACCTTTTGGGATACACCGCCCAGCCTGGGGTGTCTGCACTACATTTAGCAGTTTGGTTTTGTCTGGTGTGGCCTGGCCAGCGCTGGAGCCTGTGTCTTTGCTCTGCTGCCCAGTCTCCTCTCCATGAGAAGAGGCGGCCTCATGGGAGGTGTGACTTTGCTGTGACTTTGGCCATTTTTATGAAACTCAGGCCTGGAGAGTCCAGCGGCCTCGCGGCTTATTGTCACCAGCCACAGTGCAGAAAACAGACTACCTGGCCACGTGTGCAAGCCTTCTTCTTATTACCCAAGGCTGTTGGAGCGGGTGTTCCACATGTTTGAGCAGGAAGCGTTAGTCACGATTCATTTAGGAAAGTTGTCTGTTGTTCTGACTCTGTAGAGGGCCTGGCCTGTCCTCCTGGGAACTGCCCGGGATGTGGCCAGGCATGCCTTCCCAGACCGTGGGCTTGAATGATCGTCTCCGTATTCCATCTTTAGTGGCACACCATCCTTTTTTAAAAGCATCCTTTTTTCCCATAGCAAATGCCTGTTATCATCGCGGGAAATGAACAGCAACGAAAGAAGTATCTGGGGAGGATGACGGAGCAGCCACTGATGTGTGTGAGTACATTTATTCACTGGCGGTATTCATTAGTGTCTGCTCGTCATTAATGTCATTCAGATAGAAATAGTTACTGCAGTTGTAGTGTGAATTACAAAGTAACCCTCTGCACACAGGACTGCGGGTCTTGGCAGACAGCCAGAAATCTAGGGACAGCCCCCAAAGTCTATTCCTCCACTCCCTTTGCAACCATTTCACCCTTACACACATTTCAGAAATTGCTCAGCACCAGTTGGACGCAGTCATTGTAGGCAGCGCTGGAGGGTTAATGTGTGTGGTGTGTGTGTGTGTGTGTGTGTGTGTGTGTGTGTGTGTGTGTGTGTGTGTGTGTGTAATGGGATTGGAATCTTTGGAATAACAAGGGATTGATATTAAATTCAGACATGGAAAGCTATCCATTGATTGAAAATTGGGATAGTTGATGGCATTATGCTGAGCATGCAGCTGAGTGGGGCCTTTGAGGACCTCTAGTCTGCATGCTGTCACTGGCCCACAGGGCTGCCACTGAGAAGACCCCAGAAGTGGGGCTTGGACCCTGGCCTGGGACTCCACCAGGATGCCTCCCAAGGTGCTCATTCCTACCTTCCTTTAGCAGCAGAGCAGCCGACGAACAAAATGGCACCTGAGTGCAAAACTGGGCTAAGGCTCTCGCTTGGGAGTCCCACACACTCAAGGGCTCTAGAACCTTCTGGAATAATCTCATGCCTGATTGTTCTTTGGAGGGGAGAGGCAGCAGACACAGTCACATTTCATCCATTGTACTCATATCAGTGAAGAAAGTAGAGATTTAGAAATGTCATTGTTTTGAAGTCATTTATATATGAGGCCACTAGGTAGTGCCGTAATGCATAGAGCACTAGCCATGGAACCAGAAAGACCCAAGTTCTTGTGACCAAATCCAGCCTCAGACAGTTAACTAGCTGTGTGACCCTGGGCAAGTCACTTAACCTGGTTTACCTCAGTTTCCTCATCTGTAAAAATGAGCTGGAGAAGGAAACGTCAATCCACTCTGTCATCAAGCAGGACTGAAAAATGACTGACCACCAGCAAATAGAATTACTAGAATTAGGGAACAATACATCCCAGGGAGAAGTACTTAGGCAGGAATGACGATGTGAGTTGTATGTCAGTAAGTGTTTCTGAAGTGGCTGAGCTCCTGCGTACACTAGATCCCTCTCGTCATCTCTCTGTCTGTGGTGGCCGTCAGACCAGCTGCTGGTCAAGTGGTCATAAATTCTGAATTTTGGAAGTTTTCAGGAGTGATGGGATGGGGGGGCAGTCTGCTTTTGCTCACGACCCCTTCTCTGCCCTCCCCTGCTCCCTCCTCTAGTTCAGACCCGCATCGCCCCTCCCTTCTCCAGTGTGTCTTGTGGTACGCTCGGGCCTGAAGCCTCCTCCTCGGCATCTCTTAGGATAAGGTTAGGAATCGTGCCTGGTGCAGGCAGCTCCCCGGTAAAGAAATGTCCCCTGGCATGAAGGTCAGCACCTTCTCTTCACTGAGGCTGAGGACCGAGGGGTCCAGTGACCTCTCTAGGGTCAGGACTTAAACTCAGGTCTTCCTGGCTCCCAGGGCAGCTCTGTGTCTCCATTGAGCCCCGCCTGCTTAAATGTCCTTAAAGCTGTTGTGAGCCAGAATATCGGTGGGATTAGGGAGGCCCGCATTAACCCCCCTTCCCCCAACACACGCGCACACGTACACACTCTCCGTGATCATGAGCGGGGGTGGTCCAACTGTGGACACCACCCCTGATACCCTCCCAGGCCCTGCCCCAGGCTTCCTTGCTCGGTCAGGGCCCCTGTGGCCCCCATGTGCTGATGCCCTCCCAAGTGCCTTTCCTAAAGGTTCCCCCGGGGCATTCAGCCTTCCGCTCTAAAATACTGGGCAAAGACCTCAGGCCTACACTTCCTTAGGTGAGGTCAGCAGACTGCTCTATCTTGGTGGGTCCAGGAGCTGTTTGACAAGTCTCTCTTGAATGTTTGTTGAATCCAATTGCCTGAATGGTGATAAGAGTGCCCTGGAGTACAGCTGCTTAATAATTAACAGTGTGACAGAAGCTGAGGGTGAAAGGCAGCTGGGAGGCCATCAGGCCGTTCTCCGCCCATTCTGCCCCGGAGGATTGCACCAGGGGCTGGGGGTTTTCCTTGCGCGGTTTCCATCTCTCCCAGCTCCCATTGGGGCCTTCCACATGTACATGGCAGCTCCCCGCTGTGCTCCGAGCTAAGCCACCCCACTGCCTGCTGGCTGCTGCGTCTGGACGCTGTCCAGTGCCCCAGTGCCCAGGGCCTACCCCAGTGTTCCAAAATGCAAATCCAGACAAATGGAAGCCCCTGAGGGCAGCGTGAATGAGGGGGGCTTTGGGACCTTTCATTGCTGTTCCTAGCCACACACAAGTCCCGACAGTTTGCATTCTGGATGACAATATGGCTTTACAAGAGGGAAATGCCCTTGTTGGGGTTGGGAGGGGAGGCCTATAATTAATTGTCTCATCATCTGAGGGTGGGGCGGTTCATATTCTGTTTCTTGAATGAGTGCGAGGGAGGAGCCTGAAGCTGAAAGTTGTTCAGCTGAAGAAGGCCAAGGTGATGTGAAGGCCCCTCCTGCTGCTGTCTGGTCTGTCCCCAGACGTCACAGGAGCACAATCGTATCTTAATTGCTTGCCAGTATGAAATTTTACTTATAAGTATTTGATCAGATTTGGGCTTGTCATTTAGGGTTTTAGAATGAACAACTTCACAGGTTTCTAGGGTTAGATATTTAACATGGGGGAGAGGGGCCTAGCGTCAGGATAGAGCCTCGGATCCTTGCTGGCTGTGTGGCCTTGGACAAGTCACATCACTGCCTGCCTCACTTTCCCTATCTCTAAAGTGGGGATCATGACAGTACCCACCCCCCAGAGAGTTCACAGACTTGAAAGTGCTCTAGAAATAGGAGCTGGGATTTTCATGATGATCATTTAGAGCAGCAAGGGTTTTAGGCCCTGGCTTGGCCACTTTGGTAGACAGATCTAACCTAATTCCCAAATTCCGTCATGCTCTTAGTGTCCAAGACAGTTGCCATTGAACTTTTATTGTCATTTCTAGCTTTGGCTGAAATGTAAATTGACCCTCCAGAAATTCTGCTCATTCCTTCATCAGCCTGGTACCTGAATAGAATCAGACTCACCCTTCACTCATTTGTGTGCTGGTGAGGTGGGAGGTCTGTCATGTGGCCCTGACCATGTAGGTTTTGCTTCTGAATTCCTGTGATATATGGGGGGCCCAGCTAGGACCGAGTGCCCCGTTCCTGGATCTGACGTCTGCAAGCACCGGAAGACTTGTGATCCTCATCACTCAAGAGAGAAGGCGTCACTCCCTGTGACAGAGGAGGAGGAGAGCTCGGTGTGAACGATTGTGCGTCCAGCGCTCTACCCTCATGGTCCCCCGTCTTCCTCGGCCAGGAGGAGTCTGGGAGTCAGGCTTCCTCATAGTCCGGCGTTCTTGTGGCCCTGCTCGCCTTGCTCGACATCCATTCATGCCCATCTTCCTGCGAGTTCTTGCTCCTCCTCCTTTCTCATGCCACAGTCCTGCGGGCGCCACACTCCATTTCTTGTGGTCTCCACTTTGTTTCCAGTACCCAGAAAGAAGGGCTTCTTGGGGTACTCTCTTGTCTGGACAGTTTAATCAGCGTTTCTTGAATTATTTCAATGCCAACCCTGCACCTGATCTTCCAGGACAGAACCACGAAAGTAGTGGTAGTAGTAGCTGTACAGGGCCCTACTGTGTGCCAGGCACCAGGCCACCAGCTTTACAATTATCTTTTGTGAGCCTCACAGCAACCCTGGGAGAGAGGGAGCTGCTGTTGTTACCCCCATTTTACAGATGAGGAAACTGAGGCAAACAGCTAAGAAGGATCTGAGACGGGGTTTGAACTCGGATCTTCCTGATGCTAGGTCCAGCGCTTTCTATGCTGGAGCACCCCACGCTGCAGAGTGATCTCACCGAGGGGCCTCTCAGCTCTTGGGGTTCTGGGCTTGTCTCCCTGACAGCTGCTGGAGTGGCGAGGGCCATCTGACTTCAGATGAAATTTCCCAGCTCAATCCAGCAAGCATTTATGAAGCACCTGCTGTGTGCTGAGCCCAGCACTAGGTGCTGGAGCGGTCTCTGCCCCCAAGAACACCTAGTCTGATGAGGAGGACCTCTTTTTAGGAATGTCAGGGCCTTGGAAGAGAGGGAGGGCACAAACAGTGGGGATGAAGAAGGGCCCCTCACAGAAGTCGGTACCTGTGCTGTGTATCGAAGGAAGAGAATGTATTCTGGGCAGGGCCGATGGGCATAGAAAAGGTGTGGCAACCAGAGAGGCCGAGCCCTGGGTTAGAGATGGAGAAAAGGCTGCTTTGGTTGGATTGCAGTATGTGTCGGGGGGCTGGGGGGAAGGGATGCCCGTACCAGGGGCCTGGAAAGATGGTGAGGGCAAGGGCAAAGTATTTAAAGCGGAGCAGAGGAGTTTGTGTGCAATCCTAGAGGCACGGTCAGATCTTCACTTCAGGAGAACCCTTCGGCAGCCCTCTGGGGGTACAGAGAGACTCCAGGGGGTATGGGAGCGAGGAACCTGCAGGGCCAGAGGCCTACAGGAGGCCAGGAAGGACATGGACTGAGAAGTGACCACTGGCCTTGAGTGACTTGAGTGACGAGGTCAGAAGCCAGACTGAAGAGAGAAGAGGGAGTGGAGGCAAGGCCCAGAGACAGCTTTCTCCTGGGTTGGACAGCAGGTCTCATGAGGTTTGGGGGTTTTAAGGATGGAGGGACCTAGGAAGAGGTGGAAGATTTGGGGGGCTGGGGTAGGGACCCCACCCATCATCAGAGACTTGGAGGAGGAGAGAGCCTGGCTGGTGTCGGGGGACTCCCGGGTTTTCATGGCTCTCCCGGCCATCTCTGCTGCTCACTTCGTGTGGGCCACGTTTTTACTAATGTGGCCTTGGGTTGTTTCTTCCCTGGTTCTGCTTTGTGGGGCGGCACCTGACTGCCATGACGTCCTTGCGTGTCCGTGCTGTCTTGTTGGAATCAGGCCTTTGGCCTGGAGATGATTGTATTTACTGACTAGAACAGACATGCAGACGCCTGGTCTGTTCATTGAAGTGTGCCCGATAGAGCTTCTGTAGCCATTCAGCTGCTCTATTTACTGAAAGGGGTAAAAATGCTTTCCTGGGGGCCAGAATTGTACTGGTTTGGGGAGCACAGGAATTGCCTGCCTTTGCCAGGAATGACCGCTACAGGGAGCTCTGTGCCAGCAGAGGGATGCTGACCCCCCCACCCCTGGGCCTGAGTAGGGGGCCGTGATTCCCAAAGCCCTCCTGGGAATGGGTGTCCTGGTTCTCCAAAGCCATAGCTGCACTGTGGGCCCCATACGGGCCGGGGATTCTGGGACCAGTCACGCACACCTGTGAAATGCCCATCCCTGATCCCTTACGGCTCTCATTTCCCTGGGCAGCTTTCGGATTGGCTGCTGAGGTGCCCTCAGCGTCTTAGGAAGATTTCTGCTCAAATGGTTGCAGTTCAAGATAGTTTTTGTTATGAATGCAAGTTTACTTTTTAAAGTTCATTTACGTGGAACATGTCATACCCTGATGAAGCCGGAAAACAGGGCAGTTCTTTGGACAGGAAACGTGGTGGCGGTGCCTGGCCTTCTCAGCCAGTGTGACCTTGTACATGTTGTGCCAGAGCTCCTCTGAAGGGCAGAGCTGGTGCCGTAGGAAGGAGGCCTGCCTCAGTGTGCCAGGGCACGACTCTGTGTGTCCATAATGGGCCGGCCTTCCTTCCAGGCACGTCCTTGAATAATGAAGCAGGGCTATCTTAAAATAGGATGGCTCTGTGACTGCCTTTGCACGTACGTCAGGATTCCTGGGGATTCATTGGGAAGGTCGTCTTCTGGCAGCACAGGCAGCTCATTTGGGTACTGGGGAGGGCCTCCACAGAATAACCATTTTAGCTTTGGCACTCTTGGTCCTGAGGATTGTGAAGTAGCCATCTCTAGAAGAGTCCAGACACCGGCAAGCTGTACAGGACATTTCAGAGTTGCAACGTGTTAAAGCTGCTTAGAGAATGCTTTCTGGTCAGCAAACAGTTATTCAGCCCCCACTGTGTTCAGGGCACTTGGAAGAGAAATAGAAAAGTCGGATTTTCCCTCTGCGACATTGACCTTCCCCTCCTCCTTCCAGAGTGTTGGTGGCACTCTGGGCCTGGCTCTGCTCTAGGTGTCTGCCCAGTTCGTTTCCAGCACTCAAGGCCATCCCGAGTGAATACTCAGCTGGGATTCCGTCAGCTCCTATGGCTTCCGTTCCGATGCCTGCTAGATGGGTCTGTCTAGCCCTTTTCTCACCTGCACATGTTTTGAGGCATTTCAGCCTCAATGTGTCCAGAAGAGCATCTTATCTTCTTCCCACCCCTCTTCCTAAACTTCTTCATCTTTCTAGTCCCTTGGGTTTACTGGCTCTGAGCCCTTTACGTCACTTCCACGGCTTATCAGTTTCCAAGGTGTTTCCCCAGGCACACGGCCAGCACCCAGGAGCTCCTGGTTCTGCCTGTTGCACCTGGACTATTGCAGTAGCCTCTTCATTGGTCTTTCCGACACCAGCCCTCTCCTCTCCAGCCCATCATCCATTCCTAAAGCACGGAGCTTACTGAGTCGCTTTTCACTCAGGGCCTCTTGCGTGGCCTCACACTACTGTCTACCACCTGGCTCCAGCCGAGCCAGACCACTTAGCTTTGACCCATAGTTTTCTCATCTGTAAAGTCCTCACAGGGCTGGGGCAAGGCCTTGAGATCGATACTGCCTGCCCTTATTGCTGAGAATAGGCAGGGGCCACCACAGATTCTCATGCCCGGGAGCAGCATCACCAGGCATTTTTCTTGGGAATATTCCCTGGGAGCTGCAGAGACAAAGAGACTGATTAGGAAGGCATTGTTGTAGTCCAGATGAAGAGGGCTGAGCCATGAGAATGTAAAGAAAGAGATGGACAGCAGTACACATTAGAGACACTCACTAAATCAGACCAGCGGGTGTGCGTGCCGTGTGCCCAGTGAGTGCAGAGAGATTCAGAAACAACACATGTAAATTTGGCTCTTCCCTTAAGAAGGTTGCCTTCTGCTGAGGGGGGAGCAACATGAGAAAATATAGACAGTAAATATGAGGTATTTTCAGGGACGGGAAGAAAGCGCTAGTGGCCAATGTGGCCAGGAGGGGCCCCCAGAGGAGGGGGGGCCTCCTGCCTTAGCTGAGCATTCCAGGTTTGGAGAAGGGGCTTTGCAAAGACCTCAAAGGCAGAAGATAAAATCCAATGTATGAGGGACAGTAAGAAAGGACAGCAGTTTGTTTGGAATTTAGACTGCCCCAGGTAGAATAGTACGTGATCCCAGAGACAGAGAGACTTCAGTGCCCAGCACCACAATTTGTGTTTTATCCCAGAAGCCTGGGGAGGGACCAGAACTTCTTGAGGAAGTGAAAGACCTCATTGCTCAGACCTTCTGGTGGCAGGACAGAGACTCGACCCCTGATTGAATATCAGAGTTCACAGAGAAGAGTCCAGGATCACTTGATGGCCACACATCTGGGCATCTGGTAGTGCTCCAGACAGAGGAAGTCTGGAGGGAGGATGGATTTCAGGGAGAAGCTCGAGTTCTGTTCTGAATGTGCCAGGTCTGAGATGCCAAGGGGATGCCTGGATGGAAACCTTCCTGGCACACAGTGGAAGTCAGGCCTGGAGATCAAGGGGGAGATGTGGGAAATGGGCATAAATATGATCATCAGAGCCACAGAAGGAGGGTGAGGGAAGAAGGGGAGAGGGTCAGAGAGAAGGCCTTGATGGGTAAAGGATGGTCCCGTGAGGGAGACAGATGGAGCGAGCAGGAGAACTGGGAGAGAAGGATGCCAAGAGACCCAGGGAGGGAAGAGTGTGTGGGAAAAGGCCAAAGGTAGGAGAGGCTGAGTAGAAAAGGGGCAGGCCGGAGCAATCACATCATTGTGAGGGGGGGAGAAGGCAGCGGCACGCATTTAGCACCTCTGCCAAAGCGCGTGCTTTACAGGTATCTCATGAGAACTCGGGTCTGTGAGTTTATAGAAGGCTTGCCCAGCCGTGTCTTTGTGGAAGCCTCCATTTCCTCATTTATTCCATCACATTTGTCTTATTCTAGCACTTTTTCAGTCAGAGGAGAGCCTCTAGATTTCCAGGCGTCGCCCCCACAAAAAGCTGCTCTGTGGGTTTTTGTGCAGAGCGCGGTCTTTTCGCCATCTTTGATCCCTCTGGGCAGAGGTCCAGCAGTAAGGCAGCTCAGGCCGAGGGCACGCGCTGCTTAATCATGCCAGACTGTCTTCTGCGGAATGGCTGCACCCATTCACGGGGCCACCAGTGGCACTCCGATGTCTGTCTTCCCACCGCTCCTTGAACACTTGTCGTCTTTGCTTCTTTGCTAGGTATAAATTGTGTTTCTCTATCTAATTAGTAGCAATTTAGATCCTTTTTTTGTATGGTTCCAGATTGGAAAAGACCAGTGGTCAGGGAACTCCCCAGAAGATGGAAATGAGGCCAAGGAACAAGGGGAAAAGAGAAGAGCGTGGTGTGGGCCTCTGAAATAGGAGTCAGGAGTGCCAAGGCTCAGAGCTGGGGCCATCAAAGGCCGACAGAAAGAGGTGTGGGAAGCTAGGTTGGGAGAGAAGGGGCCAGAGGATGAGAGGCCCTCTGCCTGGGGTGGATGAGGTGGTGATAGCTCAAACCAAGAAGAGGGCAGAGGCACCCCACTACTTGGCTTGTGTTCTCCTCCAAGGAGAGTGGCCTTTTCAGTGAAAATGAAGAAACAGAAATGCCTAGCAGGGAGTTTATACCCAGGAGAGAGAAAGCAGTCAGAGAGAACCCAGCTCTTCCTTCGTGAATTGAAGTTAGCTGGCCCGCTCACACCACCTTCTCTCGTTACTGGGAGAAGTGACCGATGGAATGAATAAGCCGTTGCTGCCAGGAAGGGTTGAATGAATAAGGGAAGTAGGAGTGGGCCCACAGATTGGAGAAGGGCAGATGGCCTCCTCTTTAAAGGTCATGGACCCAAAGCAATGGTAGACATTTCATGGGGAACCTGGTCATCTCATCATGCAGTACCTGTGAGTGTCTCAAAAGGCCACAACAAAAGTAGCCCCAGCTTCTGAAGTAGCACCTGCTCAGGTCCCTTCCCCCTCTCAAAGGCTGTGACTCTGTACTTTGTTGTCAGGGATGCCAAAGGAGGGCATGAGAGGGCAGACAACATGAGCTGGGAAGGGCAGGACAGGATTGTGGATAGGGCCGAGGACCGGTAGGTGGTGACGGAATAGTGGGAGCACAGCAGCACCGATGAGGGGCCTGAGGCTCAGAGTCCCTGAAGGATTTGGGTGCCCTTTCTTATCTTTGGACACTACATTTCCATATTGATGAAAGAAAGGGTCTGCCAGGAAGAGGCCTATCTGCCTCGGGGCCACAGTGCTGGAGATGGACACAGCTGGCCAGTGAATGCACTCATACATCTGCCTGCAAGATGTCCACTGACACCAGCATCTTATCAAGATGAATCCAGCCTAGAGACAGGTGGACCCAGAAATGACTATCCCCCTAAAAAGAAAAGAGAAGGCTTAATGTTGTCACAGGCCTCTACACAATCTCCTTTAGGGTCTGGCATGTGCCAGTTTGCCACATTAGACCTGTTGGACGAGGGAGTGCCCACCAACTCTTTGATAACTTTAACTCAGTAGTTTAGGCCCATCTAAGATCTTGATTTAGAATGATAGGGTCTGTTTCCTCACATGGTGCTTGTGGTGGGATTCCCAATGGTCATGTTTCACCATTGATGTGTCCTTACTTTCATGTCTTTGTTTTCAAGGCTTACTGTGTAACCGAACCTGGAGCAGGCTCTGATGTGGCTGGTTTACAGACCAGAGCAGAGAAGAAAGGCAATGAGTATGTTATTAATGGTCAAAAGATGTGGATAACCAACGGAGGAAAAGCCAACTGGTGCGTTCATGGAAGTAGCTGCTGCCCTCCCTTCCACCTTGTTTTATGGAAACTCCCAGATCCTTGTCTCCTCTCTCCCTCTTCCCCTTGTCCCCCCGACCATCATTAACCTGAACTTGTCACAAGTTCAAAGTACAAGAAAGGCGACCCAATCTATCACTGTGGCTTTTGGCGAACTGACTAGCCCACAGCAAGGAAGCCAAAAGGATTTGGTTTTTGTTTCTGTGAAAAGATATTTATACAATCATTAAGCATCCATCAGATGCCTGTTAGGTTCTAGGCATTCACATTGTATTGGGGAGACGTGTTCACATTTGTGTGCACATGAGCATACCGACACACTCACACTACATAAAAGGAAAACAAAGCCACTTGACGCACGAATCCCACAAGGCGTGAGCGGGCATTGATGTTGGTGTCACCTCTGGGCATGGGGAACCCTTTCTGCCATGGGCACGTCGACCTGGTTGGAACAGCAGAGACTTTGCCTTCCCTCTGCTGCTGCCCCAATCCTGATGAGTCCTTCATGTCTTCTTGTAGGTATTTTCTTTTGGCTCGGACTGACTCTGATCCCAAGGCCCCTGCCAGCAAAGCCTTCACTGGATTTATTGTAGAGGCAGACACCCCGGGAGTCCAGATCGGAAGAAAGGTAAAATGCAGACGCCACAAAGGGTTTAGTTATAATTCAGAATAAATGAGGCATTTCACCACCACGGGTTGTCTTAGGTTGGAATGAAGAGAAGCCTGGTATTGGTGAACAGGCCCGGCTCTTTCAGCCCATCTTCCAAAGGCATGGTCTCCAGCCCCAACGCATGATGGGTGTACCCCCCAGAGTATGTTCTGCTTCCCCAGTGCTTAGCTGGAGAGTTGGATAAATCCATGATCTCTCCTAAGTGTGGGCCCTCCCTCCACCAGCCAGACCATGGCCTCCGCAGGCCTTCTTATCCTAGGAGGCTCTTGCCTGCATCTTCTTGCTGATCTTCCTTGGCACTGGGGTCCCTCCCCTTGTTTGTTAGTGACCCGCCATTTCCCTTCCCATAGCTGCCTGAACTGCCTTCCTCTCTTTCCCAGCATACGTCCTTGGGTTGTCTTTCAGTGCCCAGGACACCCGCCCGCCACGGTCACCTGACACTAGATGGTCCCTAGTTCTCAGTCATGGCGTCTAAGTGGAGAAGCGTTGTCCCCCAAAGCACTGTCAGGTCCTCAGAACAATCCAGCCTGTCCTCCCTGTGGTTTTACATTCTGGGCCCAGCTCCTTCATCTGTATCTCTGTCCTAAGTCTGCACTGATGCACTGACTCCACGAGGGACCCGTCCAGCTTCCATGATCGAGACAAGCAACATCCTCCTTCCCCTGGCTCCGACGCTCAGAGTGTTGGAAGCCCAGTCTTCTGAAAGTGGGTGGATGAGAGGCCAACAGAAGCTTCTGAGGAATGGCGCTATCAGTAGGGAATCCCTTCTCAACCCTTCTCCCAGGAAATCTAGAATTGTAATGGAGGGATGCCTTTGGGGAGCACACATCTCCCGGTGTCACACCCTGTTCAGTATTCCTGATCAGAGGATTGTTGAAAAGTCTTATCTAGTGGTTAGACATGTGCATGGAAGATACTTTGGGGGAGGAGAAGACTCCAGGCTGCATTTGCTTTGTGTAGACACAAAGCGCTTGTGCATTTCTTAAACTCTGTCAGAAGTGTGGCTCTAAAGGTGGGAAAGCCTGCCAGTGTCCTCCCTTTCACCAAGAATACCGCTGACTCCCAGATGAGGAATTTATAGATGGAAAGGCAGGCAGATGGGTAGAGATGCCGGTGTCTTCTCAAGGACCTCTTTCTTGGAATCATCCTCCCCACTTTTCAAAGTCGGATCTGAAAAACGTGTCTTGAGTACTCGTAGGCTTGTCACCTCCAGCAGTTTTGGTCATGCCGGCTGGCTTAGCGTTGTCCAGCCTAGAGGCGTTAATAGCAGGACACGGTTCTCTAGATAGGGTCTGACGAGGTCAGTTGTCACTCACCCAGCATTTATCAAGTGCTCCCTTTGCAGCAGCCCCTGAGTAGCACCGGGGTTTCAGAGAAAAAGCAGACAGTCCCTGCCCTGGCCCCAACAGCTTCCGTTCTGATGGGGGAGACAACATAAATAAATGAGAATACACGAGATGGAGGACCTCAGAGGAAATGGCTCTAGCTGGTGGAGGGATCAGGAAAGGCTCTCTGGAGAAGTGGCATGTGAGCTGAGTCTTCAGAGACTCCCTGAGGTGGAGGCTGGGAGGGGGAGTGTTTGAGGCCTGGGGAATGCCAGTGCAAAAAGGTGGGTGAGTGGGAGGAGCCAGAGAAGAAGGCCCTGGAAGCCCAGGGCCCTGGGTCCTGCAGACCACCTAGAGCCACGTCCGTCATCCCATACGTGTGCGCTTGTCATCGGTAACCTAGCTATGACTTTCCATTGGCTCCTGTTAAACTGGGCCCATTGTTCGAGGCTGTCCTGATCCCTGTGGATTGGGACTCTCTCCACCAGGATATTTGCTGTTCTTCAGAAATCGACTTAGCAACAGCCTATCTATTTTTGAGCAAGCACTAAATCATTAACCTATAGTTCTTTTCCCAGAGCTTTCTCCATTAAGAAATCAGACACCGTATGTAAATAGTTTCCAAACCTTTCCTTAGGAAATGTCTTTGGCTGTCACTGTCCTTTTCAGGAGATAAACATGGGCCAGCGCTGCTCAGACACCAGGGGGATTGTCTTTGAAAATGTGATTGTGCCCAAAGAGAATGTCCTCCTTGGGGAGGGCGCCGGCTTCAAAATTGCAATGGGCGCTTTCGACAGAACCAGACCTCTGGTGAGTGAAGATGGGCATGGCTTTGCTTTTACCTTTAGGAGAGTTGTGTCATGACCTTCCGTGGCTGTGGTGCCATTCACTTGTGCTGTATTCTGTGGGCCTTGGCTTTTCCTGAATAGGGCTCTGCTCTGCTGACTTCTGAACAGTGGCCATCGGTAGAGGAATGGCCGCAGTGAGGAGGTGACTCTCCCGGGGGGCTGTCGTTCAGGACCCTGCTGGGCTGCCTGCCCCCTCAAGCCATCCACTTTCTTTTTCATTAGGAAGGAGGAGCTTTTTCTTGAGGCCTGCTTTCGGAAATGAGTCAATAGCACCACTGGAGGGACTGACTTTAGCCCTTCTTCACGGCCCCTCCCTGGACAGTGGAGAGGCCCAGGGAGCAGCCTCCTGCAGGCAGGAATCTCCATCTTCATGGATGAAGGCAGACGGCTGCCAAGGGCCGAATGCCGTCAATCATTCTCTCCCCATCCCATCGAGCCTGCGCCACCAATGGCCTATGGCCCTCCCATGAAAGAACCTGGCCTATCTCTTGTTTAGTTTGGGGTTACCCAATGAGCAGCCTTTTATTTTATTCTTTAAATAGTATTTTCTCCCAATTATATGTCAAGACAATTTTTAGTATTCATTGTTACAAGATTTTGAGTTCCAAATTTTCTCCCTCCATCCCTTTCCTCCCCTCTTCCTAAAATGGTAGGCAATTTCATATACTTCTGTATGTGCAATTACGTAAAATTATTTCCATATTAGTCACAGTTGTGAAAGAAGAAACAGATCAAAAGGAAAAAACCCACGAAAATTAAAGTAAGTGAAAAAACGATGCTTTGATCTGCATTGAGACTCCATAGTTCCTTATATGGATGTGGAGAGCTTTCCATCATGAGTCCTTTGTGTTGCTGAGAAAAGCTGAGTCATTCACAGTTGATCATCACACGATGTTGATGATAACGGATACAATATCTTCCTGGTCCTGCTCACTTCACTCAGCATCAGACCGTACAAGTCTTTCCAGGTTTTTCTGAAGCCTGCCTGCTCATCATTTCTTATAGCACAATAGTATTCCATTACATTCATATACCATAACTTGCTTGGCCATTCCCCAACGGATGGGCATCTCCTCCATTTCCAATTCTTTGCCCCCACACAAAGAGTTGCTGTAAATATTTTTGTACTTGGGGGTCTACTTCCCATTTTTATGGTCTCTTTTGGATAAGCCCTAGAAGTGCTATGGCTGGGTCAGAGGGTACTGAGCGGCTTTTTAAAATGGTGTTCTCTCACAACCTCAGGTTGCCGCCGGTGCCGTTGGGCTCGCACAGAGAGCTTTGGACGAAGCTACCAAGTATGCCTTGGAGAGGAAGACCTTTGGAAGGCACCTTGTCGAGGTGTTGCCACAAAGTGCAGGAAGGCCTTGGAAATCACAGCATGCCCTCCCTCAGAGGGGAAGAGAGGCTGAGGGATCTGTCCGGGGGTCTTAGAGATGGGGGCAGAACTGGGACTCAGCTCATTGTGGCTCATCCAAGTAATGGCAGATTGGGGGTGGGGCTGGTAAGAAACAGTGGATGTCGAGGGGTCAGAGAAACAGGGCAAGCAAACCCCAGAAACAAGGTGCTCAGTGACCACAGCCCACCCTCAGAGGCAAAGAATGGCCAGCCTTAGCCCCACAGCTGAGGAAATGCCTCTCCCCCAAGAAGACACAAGTGGGCGCTGGCGGTGAGGATTAATGTTCTTATGACCGGTAGGAGGGGAGGGGCAGGAGAGAGAGAGAAGCAAGCCGCGAAAAGAATACATTGAGGGGGCAGCTAGGTGTCGCCGTGGAGAGAGCTCCGGCCCTGGAGTCAGGAGGACCCGAGTTCAAATGTGGCCTCAGACACATGACACTCAATAGCTGTGTGACCTTGGGCAAGTCACTTAATCCTCACTGCCTCATCAAAAAAAGAAAAAAAACCAAATGTATTGCTTTTAAAAAATGAACTTAAATTAATATACAGTTTAAAGACTGTTAAGAATAGAAGTTCATATATAATCTTTTTTCTTGGTTGTATATTTGAATACTTAATTGCTAGTGGCAGTTAAATTTATAGTCATTTTAAAATGTTTTATAATTTGGCCAGAAATCAAACTCATGCACAGTGGATTGTTGTCAGGAAACAGGTTAATTAGCATTTTGTCTCAAAATTATTTTTAGACCAATAATGTCTCTCATGCTCTCTTTCTTCTCACTAACCTTAGCACCAGGCAGTGTCCTTTCTGCTGGCTGAAATGGCCATGAAGGTGGAACTAGCCAGAATGGCTTACCAACGAGCCGCATGGGAAGTTGATATGGGGCGCCGCAATACCTACCACGCCTCCATTGCCAAGGCATTTTCCGGCGACATTGCCAACCAGGTGGCTAGTGACGCTGTGCAGATTTTTGGAGGCAGTGGATTTAATAGTGAATACCCAGTAGAAAAACTAATGAGAGATGCCAAAATTTACCAGGTAAGTTAATTAAACGTTGTTTCAGAGTCAAAATGTTGCCAGATTGACAAGTAAATTTCACATTGTTTAAGAATTAAATATCACATTTTAAATTAATTGAGTAGTACTCTTCCCAGATTCTCGAGTCAGTAAACATGGGAAGAGCATTGACGCAATGTTGGCTAAGTGCCCGTCTCCAGTGAAAGAGCTCACATTGCAACATCAGTGATTCCCGACCTCTTTGGAGGGTTTTCTTCCCGTTCATTTTGTTACATGGTGGCCAATGGGGGCCCTTACATTTCTTAAAAACACAAATTAAATTTGTTTGCCAAATGGCCACTTGGAGAGGGCGGGAGGTGTTTTAGGCTTTTGTCAAAGCAGCCTTGGCTGGAGAAGGTTGTCAGTATTTACAGAGGGCGCAGAGGAGTGGTTTTCCAAGTAAGAAGTCAGCACCTGGATCACTGGACAAAAGGATGACCTGGGTGACTTATTTGGAGCTTTGACATGTACATAAGAGTGACCGAGGTAGAGTGACTCCCATTGGGTGGCTCCTGAGGATGCTGAGGCAGAAAGGCCAGTCCCCGGCCTCGAGGGGCTGCACATCGATGGACAGATAGAGAGTGTACACGGAGAAGCCCAGTGGGTTCCTGGGCTTCGTTGCTGGGGATGCTGCCAGCGTCACTTACAGTCACAGTGCAGGCCCCAGGGGCACTGCCCGGGACCCGTTCTGGGCCTCCCCAGCAGTAACCCACGAGTCACCCTCCTGGCTAAGGAATTAGGAGCTCCTGATAAGTCCCCTGCATTTGTAAAGCAGAGGGGATTGGCCTCCTTCTCTCTTAGCCATGGTCCCTGCTAGCTCTAATCCCTGGGAATTCTGCCAGCATCTTGCTGGTACAGGCAACCATGATGCAGATCATTACATAAATGGCATCGATTATTATTTATCACCATCTAATATTTATGTGAATTTTCCACATCTCAGCCTTAAGTTGTGTGGCTGAGTCATTTCAGTTGTGACTGACTCTTCATGACCCCACTTAAGGTTTTCTTCGCAAAGATACTGGAGTCTTCTGTCATTTCCTTCACCAGCTCATTTTACAGATGAGGAAACTGAGGCAAACAGGGTGAAGTGACTTGCCCAGGGTCACAGAGCTGGTAAGAGTCTGAGGCCAGATTTGAACTCAGGACAGTAAGTCTTCTGACTCCAGGCCCAGTGCGCGGTGCACTGTGGCACCCCCTCAGGGCAATACAAGTGCTAGGTGTTCTTTTTTTGTTATGTTGTGTTGTGTAAAAGCTCTAGACTAGCATTTGGGGAGACACCACCGAATGCTGAAAAATACTGAAAGTGATCTCCCAGGGCCGCAGATTGAGCACCGGAAGGCGCCTTCGAGGGCATTTAGCCCAAACCCATCATTTCTGGACAAGGAAGCTGGGGTCTGGAGATAAGGGACTTGCCCAAGGTCCCCAAGGTCTCATGACACTTGACCCCGGCGCCTTGCCATGGAAACGGTCCTCCATCCTGTGGTCCCTCTGAAACGAGAGAAAGCTGGACCGGCTTGGCTCCCTTTCCTTGGGCCTCCAGGAATAGCCACGGGGCTCGGCCTCCCGGCAGTCAGTCAGCCATTTATCCCCAGGTTAGGCTGGAGGTCAGGGCTGCTGGTGAGGATGCCCCCACCCTGATGGCTCTGGTAGAGCAGAAACAACAGTGATCAAGGGGAAGGGAAGGCAGGCAGTAACTGGGGAGATGGGGAGAAAGGACAGCAAAGGGGTTCCTAGAGTCCTAGAGTGAGGCATTAACTCCCTCCACTCTGCACACACCATTCCCCCCCTTTGTTTGCCTGGTGACGCTCCTTCAAGAATGTCCACTCTCAAGGGGTAGTTGGAAATAGAAGAGTGGAATAAACACTTCCACACAGAAACATGGGGGTTTCCCCTCCTGCTTTCGCTCTAGAGACCACCACCATCCTCCTGGTACCTCAGGCTCCCAGCCTAGGAGAAAGCCTGCATTCCTCTCTCTCGCCCTCCAAATCCAATATGGTGCCAAGACCTGTCCATCTCACCTCTACGCCGTCTCTCTAAAACATCCACTTCTGTCCTCTGATGCTGCCCCCACCCCAGTGCACCCCCTCCTCACCCACACCTGGACCACTGCAGTGGCTTCTGAAGGTCTGCCCGCCTCGGTCTCCCCCCACTCCGGTCCATCCTCCATTCAGCCACCAAAGTGATTTCCCTGAAGTGCGGGTCTGACCATGTGGCTCCCCATTGTCCCCAGGATCAAATGCAGAACACGCCTCTTAGAGCTCAAAGCCTTTCAAAGCCTGCCCCCTCCTCCTTTCCAGTCTTCTCACCCTGACTCCCCACCATGAACCCATCAGTCCAGTGATGTTCCACTGACAGGACCCCCCAACTCTCAGCTCGGGGCATTCTCTCTGGTTGTCCCCCAGGCCTGGAACGCTGACCTCCTTGGCTTCATGTGAGTCCCAGCTAAAACTGCACCTTCATGCAAATGCGAAAAGGACACACATGTACAAAAATATTCATAGCAGCTCTTTTTGTGGTGGCAAAGAATTGGAAGTTGAGGGGATGCCCATCAATTGGAAAATGCTATCCTCAAAGAAGAAAGAATTATGGAGCCTCCCTTAGCCCCTCCTCATTCCAGTGCCTTCCCTCTATTCATCGTCTCTCTGGCTGCTTTGCAGACTCTGTCCCATTAGAAGGTGAATTCTTTTGCCTTTCTTTGTATGGCCAGTTCTTAACATAGTCCCTGACACAAAAGAGTCACTTAATAAATGTTGACTGATTGAGTCTAGACTGGGGAAGGAAGCGCCCTCTCTTGGGCACCAAGGTGAAGGGTCTTGCCCAGAGTCACCAACAGTCATGAGTCAGGGCCAAGACTTGAACCCAGGTCTTCTTAACTCAGTTCCCTACAATATGTTGCCTCCTTTCAGCCACATGAAGAAGCTTTTGTGATTCCCTGTCCCAAGCAGATAGTATTGATCGGTTTCAAGTTTTTCTTCCATGAAAAGTCAGTCAACTTGGTGATTCTCATTATATCCTGATGTCAAGAAAAGGAACTTTGTTTATATCCACATGCTTTGTTTGGGTTTCTGATAACATCGCTCTGTAAATAAGAGAAAAATTAAAATTGCTTTATAGTTTTTAAGAAAACATTTCCTAGCACTCCTTAGGTGCTACTGGGAGATCTTCGATGGCCTTTCCAAATGAGAGGTCGGCATTATCACAATGAGGGACCTTAGGGTTCGATTTTTTTTTTGATTAATTTATTTTGAATTATCAACAATAACTTCCATAAGCTTTTGAGTTTTTAATTTTTCTCCCCCTCCCTCCCTAAGACAGAGCACAATCTGATATAGGTTATACATATACATTTCTATTAAACATTTTCACATTAGTGATGTTGTAAGTAAGAATTAGAACTAATAGGAGGAACCACCAGAAAGTAGAAACAAAACACAACAGAAGAGAAAAATAGCAAATAGTATGCTTCGATCTGCATTCAAACTCCATAATTCTTTCTTCTTTGTAGATAGCATTTTCCATCATGAGGCCTTTGGAGATGTCTTAGATCCTTGTATAGCTGAGAAGGGTTGAGTCTATCAATATTAGTCATCGCACAACGTGGCTGTTACTGTGTACAACATTCTCCTGGTTCTGCTCATTTCACTTAGCATCAGTCCATACAAGTGTTTCCAGGTTTTTCTAAAGTCTGCCTGCTCATCATTTCTTATAGCACAATAGTATTGCATTACATTCATATACCACAACTTGTTCAGCCATTCCCCAACTGATGGGCATCCTCTCAATTTCCAATTCTTTGACACCACAAAAAGAGCTGCTATAAATATTTTTGTACACGTGGGTCCTTTTCTCTCATTTGTATGATCTCTTTGGGATACAGCCCTAGAAGTGCTATTGCTGGGTTAAAGGGTCTGCACATTTTTACAGCCCTTTGGGTATAGTTCCAAATTGCTCTCCAGAATGGTTGGATCATTTCACAACTCCACCAACAATGCATTAGTGTTCCAGTCAGGGTTTGATTTTAGTCTGGCTTGTTTTCAAACTGCTTGTCAAGCATAAAGTACATACAGGCTTTCAGTAATCTTCTGCAGTGGACTTTATCTGTTGACCGTAGGATTGCTCATTAAAATGGGAAAATGATATTTCATGGAACATCCAATAACTGTAGTCACTGATGTGCTTACAATGCCTTCAGATTTACGAAGGGACCGCTCAGATCCAGAGGCTGATCATAGCTCGTGAGCACATCGGCAAGTACAAGAAGTAACTGAGAAGCGCTCCCTGGCCCGCAGCCCTCGGCTGCGCGCCTGCCCAGGAGAAGACGGCAAAGGGAGGACGCTTGGATGGATCAGCTGGTGAAATGAAGACAATTAGAAATGAGTAAGACATTACGATGGTAGTTTTACACTCTGTTTAACATCATTAAAATACTTGTGTATTCTTCAACAGCACTTGTACTGGAATCATAAAGCATCAAGAAAAAGAGTTGATTATGTGGAAATGGTCATTTTAAAAACCACAATACCAAAAGCTTGTGGGGTTTCTAGCAGTAGACTTTGAAACAAGGGAAGGGGATCTCCCAGCATTAGGGCTTCTCACCTTCTTTTGGCCCATTTCTCAGGCAGCAAGGCTTACGCTGCTCCCTGAGATGCCTAATTGTGACATTCAGAGGTGCAGTCTTTTTACCTAAGATTGGCAAAGCAGGCAGTGTGATTGCCCGATCCTAGCATATAATTGGTCAGTGTCCGTTCAACACCTTCCAGCCTCCCCAGGAACCCATTGTTTGTCTGTTAGGCTGTGATTGGAATGGGGCCGCCCATCAGCCCTGGGCATGGGAATTCTGTCGATGGCACCCCGAGCGCCAGTCCCTAGAAGCAGGAGGAAATCTGGCGCAGTGCCCAACCAATGCCTTTTTTGGGAGGGAACAGGGTAAAGAAATCTACATATGAGACTACGTTGGTCTCCTGATGACTTCTGTGCAGTCTTTATTTGCACATACTTTTATAGGGAACAGTTGATGGTGTATTAATACTCTAGGCATATTTTCTGACCTTAATTCATGAGTTATGTGCTCACTGGGAGAGAAGTTGATTTGTGACTGCATTTGTTCTGATTTTAAATTTAATAAGCATATCTGTAAAAGATACAGCCCATTTTATTTATTAAACTGTCCTGCTAGACCACTGTCTCTGACACTTGAAGAGCACGCAGTAGGGTTTTTTAAAGGACGGTGCTGACTTTGTCATTGTTAAGATCCATGAAATTGAACCATACGGTGTAGAGATGCACACCAGACTGTGCCTTCTCTATAGACGAGGGACTCGAGAAAGCAGGAAACTTCTACACATCCTAAAGGTTCTGGGTTCCAGAATGAGCAGAGTGGCTTTGGGAGGAGCTGAAAGGGCCTGCCCTCCCTGCCCCCAGCCCTCCCCTTCCCCTCCCTGGCCCCAGCTCCCCGGCCCCCTCTACGCAGTCAGGTGGTGGAGGAGAAAAGAGGAGATTGGGGGTGGCCCTCAAGGTGGAGCTTCAGCCCAGTGTGGGCTCCAGACACAGCTCCCCACAAGGACTGGGGCACTCCCTGTGGCAGTGGGTAGGGCCGTGGCCTCCGCTGGCTCTGAAGAGTCTGGCATCAGAAGCTGAAGGTCTGATTTAGGGAGCCTGAGGTAGTCATAGTAGTTACTGCGAGCATTTATACAGCGCCTACTAAGTACCAGGCACTGGGGTAATAACCAAAGCCCTGTGGGGTCTCATCTGATCCTCACAACAGCCTAGGAGGGAGTGCTGTCCTTATTTTGCAGTTGGGGAAACTGAGGCAGAAAGAGGTGAAGTGACTTGTGTAGAATCATAGCTACTGCATGTCTGAGGCTGAATTTGAACTCATAGCAGAGCATCTCAGCCCTCACCCAATGGGAAATGCCTTCAGTTCCCAGTGCCATAGGCCAGGAAGAGGGAGACGATGGAATGCTGGCTTCTCTCCCTGTTGGCTCCTTCCCATCAGCTGTATCCATCTCTCAGCCAGACCCCTGGGGCAAAGGACTCGACCTCTGCCCGTGAGGAGAGTCCCACACGATCATAGCTGAGGTTGGATTTGAACTCAGTTCCTCCAGACTCCAGGGCCGCTGCTCTATCCACTGTGCCACCTAGTTGCCTATTTAAATCCACCTGTCTCTTAATACTTACCAGTTTTCTCATGATAATAATTACACGATTCATATCATCACATCGCCGAAGTTTGCAGGAACCGTTCGCTTCACAATGGTAAAGTCCTGTGCTCCTAACAGCAGCCCTCATCAGAATAAACGACAGAGATTGGAGGCTTTTAGAAGACACGGACGTTGGTTATTTTTCCTATTTGGACCTGCCTCCTTTGATTCGCAGGAGTTGTTAGAACCCCATTTTCCACATTTGTCAGGGCAGGGCTTGGAGATGAGGGTTCCTCCTTGTGGGTCAGCCTGAAGGGAGCCTGACCCAATTTGGTTCCTCCAAAAGCCTGGCTCTTCCAATCCCCCCAAGTCCAGCTCTTGTTGAGGAATGAGCCGGGAGCCAAGACACCAAGGTTTTCAGCAGGGAGGAGGACCTGGAAGCCTCACCCAGACGTCTGTGCCGCCCAGCCCAGGAGCATTTCGGAAAGAGACTCGGCCATCAGCAGGCTACAAAAGTGAAGAGTGCGTGGGCATGTGTGTGCAGACATGAGTACATGTGTGCAATGGGAGGGATGGACAGACACACAAACAGCTCCCTGTGCTGCCGGCACCCGGGAGATGCACATGTACTACACACACGTCATGGCACCTGCTGCTTGGGCTCCGCCAGTGCAGTCACTCAGCCTGATGGGAGGATCTCGAGGGCACTCTGCACTGGACTCGCACGCTCACGACCCCTCTTGACCCCATCGGGTGGGCTCCAGGAACGAAGATAGACTCCCTTCGACAAGTGAACATTTGGCTGTGTCTCTTGGGTGGCTCTGTTCGGGTGAGTCTGCGCAGCGTGGTGTCCACCTCTGGGCCCAGCCCCGGCTACTCTCTGACCATCCTCCCTGGCGCCTCTTTGTCCAGTGGCCCATCCTCAGATCTAGAGCTTCCTGTCCTCTCCGTCCCTTTCGCAGTGCTGACCACCCCCCCTTACCTGACATCACTCTCCTGCTCTGGGGCAGCATCGCCCCACCCCAATGTTTGGTCCATCCCAGGCTTCCTTCTCATTGCTGCCCTCCCTTAGATTTCATCAGTTCTGGGGATTCCACTGTCATGGCCAAGCCAAGGACTCCCAGCCTTCCCTCCCGGATCTGCCTCTAACACCTGGCTGTCCCAAAGGCATCTCAAAACCAGCTCGCAGAAAACGTCATGAGCTTCCCCCCAAACCCAGCGCTCTTCTCCATTTCTCTGCCATCGGAAAGGGCCCCATGATTCTTGTAGACACCCGGGGCTGAGAGTGTGGGCTCCCTCGCCCCCCTGCTGCCCTGCCGTCAGGGACCCTGTGTGGTCAGCTCTTCCCTCCCTCCTCTCCATCCCCTCTCTCCCCTCCCACCCCACCCCCACGGGCCAGGCTCTCAGCTCCTGTGGTAGGCCCAGGCAATCACCATCCAGCGGGCCAGGGTGCCGATGCCCAATGTCTCCACTCCCGGCCCTGCCCCAGAGTCTGCGGGGACTCTTCGCTCAAGCATTGCAGAAGATGCCCCCGCCACAGCTTTCCAGGCCCCTTGTAGGTCGCTGGCGCCATACTCGCCGTCACCCCAAAGGGGCTTGCTTAGGGTTTTCCTTGCTATGCTGCGCCGCTCCCTCTCCTCCCTCCAGTGCCCGGCCCGTCTGCAGCGCCTCCTTCTCTCCCCTCTCCTTTGGGAGTCTGCTCCCTCCTTCACTTACCCAGGCATGGCCCCTGGCTGTTAGCCTTGCCTCCCCTGGCAACGAAACGCCTCAGTCAGTACGTGGCACTTACATCTCAGGTCTATCTGCCCACCACCCCACGTCCCCCATCTCGGCTCCTGCAGGGCACTGCCTGGGTCTTATGTCACCACCCAGCACCGAGCACCGAGCCTGGCAAACAGGAGGCACTTCATAACTGAACGTGTCAAACGGAAAGCCCCAGAGATGGAGCCGAGGCAGGCGCGGTCTTGTAGGGACAGCAGCATCAGGAATCGTGAGACACACCATTTCAGAATGGCAGATTGCTAGGGATAGCCACGGTCGCATTTAACTACGCCCACTGGGAGAAGGGCGGCTCCGGGCGATGAGCAGAGGTGACCAGTGGCCGGTGGCGTCTGACGCTTCCTGGCCCCAGCAGGGGTTTTCTGGGCAGAGAGGCTGGCCTGGTTTGCCATTTCCTTCTCCAGCTCCGGGCAAGTCCCTTAACTGTGTTTGCCTCGGATGAGGAAACTGAGGCAGGCAGGGTTAAGCGACTTGCCCATGGTCACACAGCCAGTAAGTGTCTGAGGTCACATTCAAACTCAGGTCTTGCTGACTCCAGCCACGTACCACCTGGCTGCCCTTGCCTGGCAGATGGTAGGTCCTCCACACTTGGTGATTGATTGACTGACTGATCGAGGGTGCTGGAGAGGCACCGCCCACTTGCTAACAGCCCATTCCCTCAAGGAAGGAAGTCTGCTGAGAGAGCCTTTGTGGGACATTCCGGGAAGCCCCAGGAGCCCTTCCTCTGGAAGGTTCCCCGGGGTTTTACTCCCGCTTTAGGTACTTCCTAACTCCGTGACCCTGGGCAAGGCGTCCAACCTTGCTCAGCCTCCGGTTCCTCCTGTGCCAGAGGAAGCGGCCAGACCGGATCTGAGCTCGAAATCTGCCACAGTGACTGCCCTTCGCAACGATTCTCTTATTGGTTCCCCACGACGTCCCCGAGAGGCGGGGACTGTTATGACCTCCGTTCTACAGAGGAGGAAACTGAGGCATGGGAGGCCAAGTGCCTTCCCCACAGCCACACAGTTTTCTAGAGTCTGAGGTTGGATTTGAAGTCAGGCCTTCCGGGCTCCAAGTTCAGCCTTCTGTACACGTTGGCGCCCCCTAGCGGCCACAAATATAATCCTAAGGCCATAAACCCGAGTCTCCTGGGTTATTCCAGTGCGAGGAAGGGAAAGAAGCGCCTGCGCATGCGCATGCGCCCGTGCCCGCGCCGGCGTCCCAGGTTTTTCTGAGCAGGCAGCGGCGCGGACGCCTCGTAGAGCAGGGAGGTCCTTCGGCCAGAACGGGGCCACTTACGCCGGCGGCGCGATCGGGGCCTGCGTGCGTGCTGACGCAGGTGCCGAGTGACTTGGGGCGCCCGCGGCCGTCCTCGCCCTTTCTTTCCGGACCTGGCCATGGTGGGTATGATCTCCTGGGCGGTCTGTGGGCCGGGTTTCGGAGGAGGCCGTGGGGTGTCCGGGGAGAGTGGATCGGGGGGTCGAGGCCTTGGGCCGGTGCGTGCCGGGGCCTCGGGGGCGTCTGGGCCGGGGGCCGAGCTGTGCGGGTGGCCGTGTCTTGGGGAGCGGACCGGGGTCCTGAGCTCCGCAGTCGCTCGGGCCCTGACCAGCGGCCTTTGCGTCTTGCCCAGGGCACGCCCGAGAAGGACGTGGTCATCAGGCCGGATGCCCCGGACACGCTGCTGCTGGACAAGCACGCCAGCTACATCTCGGCCTACGGAGCCAAGAAGGACGATTACGTACGTAGGGCCGGGCCGGGCGGGCCGAGGCCTAGGGAATGAGCGAGGGCTGGCCTGCTTCACTTGGGGGAGGGGGGGTCTGGGCGGCCTTGGGGCCAGGGAGGGGAGCGCCGTCGGTCAGCGCTGTCTGAAAGCGTCGGGACGGGTCTGGACCGAAGTGCGGATCGTGGGGCAGCCGCGGCCCCGCTCCGCCTCCGAGAGTACGAGGCCGCCGGGCCCTGAGCCTGCCTGGGTAAAGTCCCGTTTCTCGGGCTTTATTTTGTCATTAAGATTGCGGGTAAACCCTTTAACGTTAAATCAGAAAACGCATCTGCGCTTCAGCCAGCCCTTATAGAGAGGGCAAATGGCCTTTTTTTTTTTTTTAACATCAGCATTAAAATTTGAGAGTGGGAAACATTTTCCTTAATGCATTTTGGCTCATTTTTGTTCGGGTTATTACTTAAACCGTTAGAGTAAACTGTTATTGTTTTGTAGTTATTCAGTCATTTCTGACTTTTCATGGCATTTACCATTTCCCTCTCCAGCTCATTTTACAGATGAAGAAGTTGAGGCAAACAGGGTGAAGTGTCTTGCTCAGGGTCACAAAGCTAGTTAGTGTCTGGGGCCAGATTTGAACTCGGGGAGGTAGTCTTCCTGACTCCGAGGTTTGGCATTGTCCACTGCATCACCTAGCCGCTCACTCCGGTAGTTTCTGATACAGTAATGGAATAGTCATCAGCTAAGTCAAGTTCTTAACTGGGGGAGGGATCATGACTTGTGCTTGATTTCCTAACAGAGTCATTGGGACTTGTCCAGGTAGGTAGCTTAGTATATTAGAAAGAGAGGTACCTTTGTTCTCTGCAGGGGGTGTTCCTCTAAGCAAAATTCCACGTTAAGTTAGATTTGTGCTTTGATTTCCTCGTTTTATCCACTGTGTTGCTAGGTCCTTGAGAGCAGAGGTTGATTAATGGTGTTTGTATACGCCATGGTACCAAGAATTAGTCATAGCTAGCATTGAAGTTATTGAAGTTTGCCATGTCAGAAAGTGAATTACTATAAAAGCATACCTGCTTACCATGTTAGGTAAAACATATACAGTAATATCAACATAGTCTAACGTGATACAATACAAATGTTCCCTTCAGGAGTACTGTATGTCTGAATACTTGAGGATGAGTGGAATCTATTGGGGACTCACAGTGATGGATCTAATGGGACAGCTTCATCGAATGAATCGAGAGGAAATCCTCACTTTCATAAAGGCATGCCAGCATGAGTGTGGTGGCATCAGTGCCAGCCTCGGCCACGATCCTCACCTTTTGTACACTCTTAGTGCTATTCAGGTAAATATGGTCCCTTGCTTTTTTTTTTTCTCCCTTGTTTAAATCACCTAACAGTGTTGAGGGCAATTTCTAGGTAAGGCTATTTGTTTTGAAATCAAAGCTGTTACTTTCAAGGTCAGTGATGTGATGGCATGTATTAGCTGAATCTAAAGTTGATGCATAGCACTACTTTAGCTCTAGAATTACGCTGAGACCTTGGAAATTCATTTTTCATGATCACTTTCATATCTGATGCTATGTTCCTTAGATACTAATGTAAAGTTACACTGTCCCCAGTTGGTATTTGGGACAGTAAAATGGAGAGGGGACTGAGAAGTGGGATGTAGGATTCTGTGATCCTTGTTCTGCTGCCAGCTTGCTGTGTGACTGGGCATAGCTTGGCTTCTTTGGGACCATTGAACTCTTTAGTGGATACCCATGGGCTACCTAACCTGACTGATAGGGGTTATTTGCCAAGCACATGGCGTGCCTGACAATGATCTTCCTGCCCTGGAGAGCTTACATTGTACTAGGGAGAGCAAAATCTGCAGAAGTCCTAAGTCCTACCTGACCCGTATAATTTAGGGGAAGAGAACGTCCTTTTCTGAACTTGTTTCCTCTGTAAGATGGGGGCATTGGGATTAGGTGATCTGAGGTTTAAATATCCTCTTAAGAGTACTGAATGGACACCAAATGTCCAAAATGTACCCTGCAAGTAGTCCACCACGTGTTTCTCTGGTAGCTTATCTGCACCCTGGTGGTGTGGGCTCTTTGGTTTTCACTTTGTATTCCTAGTATTTTGTACTGAGCAGGCACTAAATAATTGCCTAAAAATTAACTGTAAAATGTGCTCTTTGCCCTTAATTCTTAATAATCAAAATAGGAAAAAGACAGTGAGTAAGATGAATTTGGAAAGGGCCTAGTTAAATTTCAGAAAGTTGGGCTGTATGTAAAGAGTATTGTGGAGGTCAGTGACGTAAATTTTAGTAACTACTGCATTTTTTATTTTGCAGATTCTTACTCTTTATGATAGTCTCAATGTTATTGATGTAAATAAAGTTGTTGAATATGTACAAAGTCTTCAGAAAGAAGATGGGTCCTTTGCTGGCGACATCTGGGGTAATGCTTTTATGTCAGTTTAGCATAATGACCAGAATTGCACTGTTAGAGTAGGCCCTAAGTGCAAGTAAAGAATCATTTTAGGAGCGGAGAATTAGTATTCTATGATAGGCTGCTTTTAAACTCTATTTTAGGAGCTGACGTGGCAAGTTAATGTGTCCCCATGTATCTGGGACTTGAAAAAGAAATTAAACTCTTTAAGTTTGCCATCTTTTCAGGTCCCACTAAGCAGCTGGTCTGTTTGGAGATATGTCTGTCTGCTGGAAGTCCCAGCATGCACTGTAGTAATTCTATTTCAGCATATGTGAGCACTGGATCAGAGGGGGCAAGTCTAGAATGATAAGGTAGGTAAATTTCACCCCTGATATTTGGTGGCTTTGTAAAGTTTTTTGGTATTTTCTTTATAAAAGAATCTGCACTGGAAAAGAGGGAGTAGAAATAAGAAAACTTTACAAACTTGCTGAATATTTGAGTGAAGAGGGAGAGGGCAACATTTCACCTTAGAAATGTAGACCAAGTCCTTCTGTAATCTTCAGTATAAGCATTATCATCACCTCTCTGAAAACAGTGCAGGCTGTGCTGTCCAGGAAAGGGATTGACTGGATACCAACCAGCTGTTTGATGGAATATGAAAATCCAGTTTTTTATTTTTGTTTTTAAAGGAGGAAGGAGTTAATCCCTTCCTGTGTTTCCAAGCATTTTTAATTCTAGGATTGCTCTGATTAGTTAGCTCTGTGACCTTGGGACTAGTCAGAGCCTCAAATAAGATATCGTGAAGATCTTAGTGCAGTTGCTGGCTGTAGATGCTAGATAAACATTAGCTGTTATTGTTAAGAAGGGGGACCAGGTTGTTATTTTCAGTTTTGCTTACAAGAGGAATGGTGTGGCTGTGGCGTGTGGGAGATAGCAGATCTTGATCTAATGTGATACACATGTATTTACTGGGGTGTTTATATTATGGTGCCTTTTTCCCCAGGTGAAATCGATACAAGATTTTCTTTCTGTGCTGTGGCAACATTAGCACTTTTGGTAAGTTTTAAGTATTGTATTGGAGTTGTGAACTTAACTGTCTCTGTCTTTGGAATTTCATTGAAAAACACTTTCTGTCTTGTAGGGGAAGCTAGATGCCATCAATATTGAAAAGGCAATAGAATTTGTTTTATCCTGCATGAACTTTGATGGTGGATTTGGGTGCAGACCAGGCTCTGAATCCCACGCTGGGCAGGTAAACGGTCTGGAGCATTCAGGCAGTATTTGAATGTTGACCCGGGGCCCCAAGTCACATGATTGCTGTTTAGTGGCACATTTTTATTGTTATACCGTTAACTAGCTGTGTTTCCTCCATTTTTTGGAACTGGCTTACCAACCCTTTGTGGGATAGATCCTCCCCACCATTCCTAGAAACCAGAAGCACTTAGCACCCTGGTTTAGCGTATGGCAGCGTAGGTGAGTTAAAGTCTGGGAACTTTGCCACCTTGTTTTTTGGCCAAAAATAGTGATCATCTTCAGCACAGTACTAAACATTCCTACCTATGTTCAAGTGTACTAATTACCATTTAAAATACATTAAGATGTAGGGGAACAAAGATGAATTAATTTGCTGACAGATCACAAATAGTTGAGTACAGTCTTCTCTCCGGGGCTTACGTTTAATTTTCCAAGCGATCCTTAATTTAGCAGTAATCCTGTAGTATGGAAGTCAGAATAAAATTTTATATACATGAACTTTATGTCTGTAATTTTAGATCTATTGTTGCACAGGATTTCTGGCTATTACTAGCCAGTTGCATCAAGTTAATTCCGATTTGCTCGGTTGGTGGCTTTGCGAACGCCAGTTACCATCCGGTGGCCTCAATGGACGACCAGAGAAGGTAATTGTAATCTTGAGAATCCTAAGAATTGGCACAATCTTCATGTGTTCCCTAAGGATATTCCCCTTGGCCTTTTTTGTGCTGGCACAGGAATTCACAATTAAAGTCATCTTGATACTTTTACAACATAAACTCCTTTTCGAGGCTAGATTTTTAGATCCCGTGAAGGATATCTTGTTATCTTTTAAACACTAGTAGAGAGTTGGCCCAGGCAGTGAAGCTGTGGTCCACCTGCTGCCCAGATTTGAATGCACTTGCTAATCTCCCTCCTCTGCCTGCTATGTGATACCTAGGGTCATCTTCATACCCGATCAGCCATCAGTGCTAGTGCTGTACTTGGAGGATCTTTACTATTCCCTCTCTCCTGTAATTCTTAGCTGCCTGTTCTACATTAAGAAAGGCCCTATCCTAAGCTCTTTCCACATTCAATTTTGGAATGTTCCTAAACTGGAAGCTTTCATTCCTTCTAAATTTGTTTTTTTTTTCTTTTTGAGACAATTGGGGTTAAGTGAGTTGCCCAGAGTCATACAGCTAGTGAGTGTTGTGTCTGAAGCTGGATTTGAACTCAGGTCCTCCTGACTCCAAGGCTGGTGCTCTATCCACTGGGACACTTAGCTGCCCCCTTCTAGCTTAATATTAAAAGGGCTTAGAAATTTTTCTTTTTGTGTGTTTTATTTTTCCTCGACTAAGGTAGCCTATTTAAATCCACCTGTTTCTTAATACTTAGCAGTTTTCTCATCCATAGACAGGTGGAGGGGTGGGTAGTTACCAGTGAAACAAATGTTTGCATCTTTTTTCCCCCTCAGTTACCAGATGTATGTTATTCCTGGTGGGTCTTAGCTTCCTTGAAAATAATCGGAAGACTTCACTGGATTGACCGGGAGAAATTGCGCAGTTTCATCTTGGCTTGTCAAGATGAAGAGACCGGAGGGTTTGCAGACAGGCCAGGAGATATGGCAAGTTCTCACTATGCTGTTTTTGTCATAGTTTTGACCTGGAGCTGTAAAATGGGATAAAGTAGAGTGCCCCATTTGAGGAAGTGGGGGATAGTTCTTGAAGGCAGAATGGGGTTTTGTTGTTTAACAATTAGTGCTGATTTAACAACTATGTGACTATAGAGCTGTCCTTGAAAGTACAACAACAGGGTGATGAAGGGGCCTTTGAAACTATTTTTTAGTAAGCTCAATACAGATTTATTGGGGAAAATTTTATCTCACTACAGGCCTATTCACAAGTTTCAGACAAAAAAATGTACTTTAATTCCTCGGGAACTATAAAGGAAAACAAAGCCTCCCGTTTTAAAAAATGACCTGTGTCTGTGATGAAGAGTATTTTAATTTGTCTGTTTAGGGCTTTTGGTTTATAGCAGAATACATTTTACTTAATTAAATGGACTGGTTTCCTCTATGCCAGAATTTCTTAAACTGGTTTTTGCAAATAAAAACTACACCTTTGTTTCAATGTGATTCGTTTACTTTGCAGCCCTTCACATTTTAATTTTCCTTAATACTTTCTGGAGGCCTTTTGCAATTGAACACCTGTTGTAATGTATCAAAGAGTTGTGTTTCCTGACCTTGCTTTCTTAATTCCGAAATAGGTGGACCCTTTTCATACCTTGTTTGGAATTGCTGGACTTTCTCTGTTAGGAGATGAACAAATCAAGCCAGTCAATCCTGTGTTTTGCATGCCTGAGGAAGCACTTAGAAGAATCAATGTGCAGCCAGAACTCGTGAACTAGACAGCAAGCCCACTAGACTAGTGCTTGACACATCTTTACTTTTTCAAACGTGCACATGAACGTAGCCGAACAGAGTTTTGGCGAATTGGTCTTACGTTGTACATTGTGTCAAATCAATTTTAATAAATTCTATAATTATAAATTTGTGTTATATATGTGTGTGGATATATATTGTAAAAAGCAACCCTGTCCTAATACATAGCTTCAGGTGACTGACTGTAATGCTGTCTAATTGTTGGCGCAGTAGGTTAATGGCACTTGAAGCATGTAATGCCTTTGTAAATGATTGCCAAGTATCAGAAGTTTTGATGTGTAAATAATGAAAAGATGTCATTTCTATTTAATGAGCTCTTCATAAAAACCCAGCAACAAATGAAAGCCCTTCCTCACCAGGACTGTAGAAGTGTTGTCATTAGCTTGTCATTAGTGTTCATGTAAAGTAAACGGTGTAACATCTTTTACTTGGGAAAGGACTGATTTGTTGTGTAGACTTGCTCCCTATAAATGGGTTAGGAAGTTACGAACTTGCCCACCTATATTGCATACTCTTTGTATATGTCTCAGGAAAATGTCCAAACAGCAGTGTGATGAATGATTTTAGTGTGCTTACATGGAGATGGATCTTCAGCCTAGCATGGAAAAATTTGAGAATAAAGTGAGTATTCCAGTTGAGATTTTGTATCCCCCTGAATTTTATTTTGTTTGTTGTACACAACTAGTTCACTTGTCTATAGAGCCTACCTAGGGCCTAGGATTTCCCAATCACCTGATGAATCAAGACCAGCTTGATTTTCTATCTCGAATGTGCATTGATGAGGCGGGAGGCAGGATGGAAGCAACTCCGTTTATTTTTAGCAAAGCACTTATATAGTAAAATAACAGGAACTCTTTCTCAAGTTACAATGACGTATAGCCCATGCTGTGCTCAGAGACCAGTGCATGCACGTCCTGTGTACTTATTTGACTCCAATCCCAGAATAGACTGCTAATGACCCTATAATAACTAGGGGAGTTAAAGACCTTTGCGAGAGGAGCCTCTGTCCGTCAGTGAGACCTCACGAACAGTCTGTGGCCCTCTACATCCTTACAGATCCCCAACATTTTTGTCCATAGACAACATTGGGATTTCACATGGTCTGATGTTGGCTGCATTGCTGCTGCTGCTGCTGTGCTTTCAAGGAGCTTCCTTTAAGTGGGGCAAATGCGTCAGAAGCGCAGAAAGTCATTTAGTAAAATCTTGAAGGTGGTCCTGTTGAGAGGACATTTATAAATGGGGTCGTTGAGGAGGCCCCCAAATGGCTGAATTGGGCCTGTAATGCCATTTTCTAAGCTGAGAATGCTCAGAGCAGGCCTAGAGATGGGAGTGCCAGTAATCAAGTAGTTTAATTAGAGTGAGGAATGTGAATTTACTTCACGGTGAAGTAAAAGCACAGGTTATATACTTAAATCACAGCGAGGGAAGGGAGGGGGGCGAAGGTGGATTACAGCCATTTAGAGGTTTCCCACCAGAAACCCTTAAGCTCCACAATACTGTAATTATGGTGTCAAGTCTTTGGGGAATGTGACTGCCTCCCGTAAAGTACAGAACCAGAGAGGGAACAGGTTCTACAACCTGTGATTCTATTCACTTAAGGTCCAAGGATTGTGAGTGTTGATTAATAAGTTCAAGCTGCATAGTGAGCTTGTAACTCCCAAGCCAGAGAGGAAGCTCTTCAGAAAACTAAACTATTGGTATATTCATTACACGTTGATTAATGTGAAAGTTATAAATTCCTTCCTCAGTGGTGACAATTGGGTGGGGACGGGAGCATCTCAATCATCGTTGAGTCTTCGTCAAGAGGGAACACTGTCCTTAATGGTTTCTCATTCTTGCCATTTTGGTGCTTCTCAAGTTCTATATTTGCATGTCAAATCTTCAATTTGGTCTTGTCATCAATAACACTTGAGTCCTCATTCTGCCCACCCTCTCCCCCCTCGTGGTAATTCTGGATCCCAAGCACTCCGTTCCTTTACTGTGGTGACTCTAATCCCTCGGGAGCCTAACTGTGGCTTCATGGCGCAGGAATACTGTCGACCTGGAAGCTCCGGTGTTGGGGTACCTTCATGGGGTGACTGGTGGCTTCTTTCATCGTCTGCTTAAGGAACGGGCAGTTTTAGGAATTCTTAAAACTGCTTTCAAGTAGTTCACTGCTTAAAAAGATCTCTCCTTGATGTATTTTGAGGCAGTTGCTTTCCTTAGGACACACAGGATAGTTCACGTTTTTTCGTTTTTTTTGACTTCCCGCGGCATCATTAGCTTCCACTCAGCCCACCCCACTTTCACCGCAGTGCCCAAGACTGCAGTTCAGGAACAAGCCTCAGGGCACGTGGCTTGCCCAGACGCGGGGCGGCCCTTCCCCCACTGATCACGTGGGCCGAGTGAGGCCTCCTGCCGGCCGCTCGCGGTTTTGTCCATGTGCTTATTCCAAGCCTGGGTTCTTTCCCTCTCCTGGAGAGCCCAGTCCGTGATCCTTAGCCTGGTTTTTCGGGTCTCCCTCTAATTCCGCAAATGGCTGATCCTTCCCTACGTTGCCCGCCGCTCTAGCTTCCCCTTCCGGGCCTATTTCCGGCTCCAGCGGGGCGTGCCTTTGCAGCCTCGCTCGGGCAGAGAGGCCTGCTTTGAGGGGCGGGGCTCAGTCGCTGGGCGTGGCCACGTGACTCTGCACCTGCGCCCTGTGCTTCTCCTCGGGCCCGGCCCCCCGTGGGTGACGCGTCAGTGCGGGGCGGGGCTTCCCTGAGGAGGATGTCCGGGCCGGAGGCTCAGAGCCCCTCATGTTCGCGGCTGTGGGACTTCCCCTCGCCTGCGAGAGGGATTCCGCCTCCGGGTCCCTGCTGCACATCCGACCCCCGGCGGACTCCGCTGTGGGGCTCGGCCGAGCGCGGCCTGCCCTTGCCCGGCGGCCACCGCCCCTGGTCGGGGCCCGGGCCCAGCAGCAGCTCCTGGTCGGGGCCTGGGCCCAGCAGCAGCCCCGGCCCTGTGCGGTGGAGCAGCAGCGGCCGCAGCGTGCCGGGCAGCGCCCCCCGGGCAGATCGAGGTGGGGCCGCCCCCGCCCAGCCCCGTGGTGCCTCCGGGTGGGGGAAGGCACGGCTGGGCCGCGGACCTCTCCAGGCTCCCCTCCCTCCTCTGCAGTGACCTCCCCTCCCCCACGGGGTCGCGGCCTTGGAGGCCAGAAGAGCCGAGGTCAAGGTCAAATTAGTCGTCGGACCCTTGGGAGGGTTAGACTCCGGCCCCTCCCTCCTTTGCAAAGTGGGGCCCAGGAGGGCCCCCTTCCCGCAGGGGGGGAGTGACGCGAGGCGATGACGTCATGGTGCGCCGGGCCCGGGAGGCTTCCCTTTGCGTCCAGGCCCGCGTGGCCCCTCGTGTGCCCTGCGCTGCTCAGGGCCTGGCTCACCAGCTGTGCGCCTGATACGAGGTCGATAGCTGGCGCGGGTGTAGATACACATATAGCTGTGTGTGTGTGTATATATATATATAGTGCTTACCCTGTACAGACCGTGAGCCGTGCTTAGCGGGGAGCCTGAGCGTACCAGGACGCAGAGAGAGGCAGGGTCACCCAGGGAGAGCAGAGCTCTGCCCCGCAGGGATTGGGGAGGGAGTCAGAGGGAAAGCATGAGGCAAGGGCAGGACCGGCAGACGGAGCCTGAGGAGGCGGGGAGGACTATAGAATAATGTTGTCACGGGCGTGTAACAAAACGCAAAAGAAACCACCTACCTGAAGTATAAACTCAGCATGGCCAAAACCGAACTCATCAGCTTTCCACCCCAAACCTCTCCCTTCCAGATTTCCCCATTTTTTTTTTTTGAGCTCAGGTCCTCCTGAATCCAGGGCCAGTGCTCTATCCCCTGTGACCCCAGTTCCTCTATCAGGCTCATAAGCTAGGAGTCGCCCTGGACTCACTCTCTCACCCCCCCATATCAATATCCAATATGGTGCCAGAGCCTATTGATTTTACCTTTGCAACTTCTCTCTAATGCACCCTGTTCTCTCCTCTGACACTGTCACCCCCGAGATAGGCCCTTATCCCTTCACATGTGGACTGCTGCAGTGGCTGCTGGGGCATCCCCACGCTCTGGGCCATCCTCTGTTCAGCCACCAAAGTGATTTTCGAAAGCACAGGCCCAGTCATGTCATTGTTCTCATTAAATTCCATTCAGCTCCTTAGCCCCACATTCATGTTTTCTCAATCTTCTTAAACCTGTTATCACCCTCGTTTGTTATTCAGTGAGCTGGTCTTGCTATTCCATGAACAAGATAGGTCATCTCCCAAATCCAGACGTTCTGCCCGTGTCTGGAATGCTCTTCCTCAACTCATTTATTGAACACTAATAGCTATAAGACATTATGCTGTGTGTTCTTCATCGGGAAGATAATGGTTTCTAATATGAGAACATTATCTGAAGCCCACTTGGGGAAATCTGAAATGTGATTTTAATCCCATTATTGAGTTTTAATAAGCATTACCCCTTATGTCATCTCTGGTGCTTGACTCACCTGTATAAAATGCCTGTATAATCACTCAGTAGCAAGTATTAAGCATTACGTACCAGTCACTGTGCAAGAACTAGGAATATAAATACAAGCAGTCAAACATTAAGTGCTAAGATGCGCCAGGCACTGTACTAAGCCCTGAAATTACAAAAAGAGGCAAAGGGCAGTCCCTGACCTCAAGGAGCTTACAGTAATGGAGGAGACAATATGCAAATATAAATATATGAAGGAGTTTACATTCTGATGGAGGAAGACTGCGTAAAATGAAGCTCGGGAGGAGAGGAAGAATGTGAAGGTACCCTCTGGGAGTTGGGTTAGGACAGGGAGTAGCAGAGAAGGCTGTCATGCAGAGAAATGAAGACCTAGCTGGTCTGTGGGTCCTCTTGCAGTGAAGGATCTAGAACAGCCTTCCAATGAGAGGGAGATAGCCAAGGGCAGAGAGTATTTCCATTGTCAGAATTCCAGGGCTTGAGTGGGATTCCAGGATGATTAGATTGCTGGGCCATGGTGAAGAAAGTCCAGAACATAGCCTGGTGAGAAATGAAGATACAGGATATTAAAGGATTTATTTAGCATATCTATGGCGTATAAAAGAATAGGGGGAGGGGAGGAGGAAGGTTGTCACAAGTCTTTTCCTGAGCCCCAAGTGTTTACTATGTGCCAAGTACTATATTAAGTGCTGGGAATACTAAAAGACACAAAATACAGACTGTGCCCACAAGGAATGGAAACTATGTAAATATATACAAAGCAAGCTACATAGAGAAAAAAAAAAAGAAGCAATTAACCGAGGGAAGGCACTGGAATTAAGAGGTCTTAGGGAAGACTTCATGTAGATGGTGGGATTTTAATTGGGACTTAGAGGAAGCCAGGGAGGTCAGTAGTTGGAGCAGAGAAGGGAGATCATTCCAGGCCTGGGGAAGGCCTGAGAGAATGCTCAGAGCTGAGAGCTGGAGGGTCTTGTTTGTGGAACAGCCAGTAGACCAGTGACCTCCTATAGAAAGGTAAGTGTCAGAGAGTACATGTAAAGACTGGAAAGGGAGGAAGGGCCTGGGGTATGAACAGAGCATTTTGTATTTTATTCTAGGGGTGATAGGAAGCTCTTGGAGTTGACTGAGTAAGGCAGTGACATGATCAGACCTCTAGGAAAGTCACTTCAGTGGCTCAGTGGAGGATGGACTGCAGTGGGGGAGACTTGGGGCAAGCAGACTGACCACCTTGGTTGTATACATCAGCAGTCCGCTATTATTATTATCATTATTATTATTATCATCATTATTATTATTATTATTATTGCTAGGCAGTGAGGTTAAGTGACTTGCCCAGGGTCACACAGCTAATAAGGTCGAGTGTCTGAGGTCGGATTTGATCTCAGGTCCTCCTGACTCCAGGCCTGGTGCTCTGTCCACAGCGCCACCTAGCTGCTCCTATCTTTCAAAGTTTTTGAGACCTTTTTGATTAGCTTTGCAAGACTCTTGGTAAATATATTCTTTTAAAAATAGATTTTATTGATATTTTATTTTTCCAATGTATCCTGTCTGTGTCTTGTTCATATATAGTTGCTTGCTTGTTGTCTCCATCATTAGACAATGAGCTCCTTGAGAACAGGGACTGTCTTCTGCTTTTATTTGAATCCCCAAGGTGCTCAGAAAAAATTCAGAAATATTTACTGACTGACTGACTAACCTCTCTCCCCATCTGGAGAGCCATACCTTATATAAAAACAAAGAATCTTTAAAAGAAAAAAATTCAGCAAAACCATCAAAAAAAAATTCTGATTTTACATTTACCAATTCTCACCCATAAACCTCCACTGTCTCTACAGAGGAGTTCAGAATGGTGTCTTCTTGTACCTATTCTTCAGGGCCAAACTTACTTATTAAATACATTTTTATTTTCTCACCATAGTTTCCCTCAGTGTTGCCCTCTCCTTCTCTGAGAGCCATTCAAGTAACAGTATTTTTTAAAGGCAAAAGAGGAAAAAGTCAATATAAATTATCAGTGCACAGGGAAAACATGACAGTGTAAGCCCTGTTCCCAACGTGTGGATGCTGCATCTCTGCAAAGGAGTTGAGGGGGAGGGTTCTCCTATTTCATCTTTGGGGCCTGGCTTGTTCTTTACAATTGCAATATCTGTTTTACATTGTTTTGTTATTCTTTCCATTTTTATCATTGTCATTCTGTAGACATTGTTTTCTTGATGCTTCTTACTTCACAAGGGTTCAGTTCATGTCTTTCCATTCAGGCAAATTACAGCCTTTGTTATATGCACTCCACCTGTAGCCACAAAGTCATTTTGTGACTACTGCATACTTTCTTAGCCAGCCATTAACTTACCAAATGAATTTTTCTCTCCTGTATCCTTTGACTTCAGTGGATGCAATGAAGAAAACTGATCTGGGTCATTATGGTCTTCAGTTTCTTGAAGAAATTAAAGAATTGGTAATACTTTTGAGCTTCCTTCTGGCAACGTCATTTGTACCCATGTTAAGCACTAGAAGTGGGTAGTTGTCATCTGTTTTGAAAAGTCTTGGGAGGTTCTCTGTCATGTCTTGAATACAGGCTCCAGGGAGACTGTAGGGCTCTCCATTATGGTTACCTGGGGGGCAGATTGCTTCCCCTAGTCACCTGAGCAGGGGAATCACCACCTAATATCCCTTCTCTTCTGAAACTTGGATGGTGGCATTTATGGTTCAGCTGTGCTGTTCTTTGGGTAACCAAGAGCTTCTTCCTCTTCTCTGTGAAGAGCCTCAGATTGATTGATTTTGGGTGTACAGTATCCATTTTTTCTCCTTTCTCCTTGATGTAATACCCTTCAGCTCTCCAACATGACAAGGATCTAGTCTTCCCTCACATTTCAGAATGCCTATTGAAGCTTTGCTTCTTTTTCCTTTTGAAACTTAATTCTCTGTAACAAACTGGAGAGATGGTGTTGGAGTCCCTTCACTTTTTCTTTCAGGAGAGAGATTAGCCTACATATGGAACACAGATAATAGTCATTCTGTTGTGCAAAAATACACACACTGGCTACTTCATGTACAATTTCTTCTATTCTCCACAATGGCTGAAATTTTCATCCTTGTGTTTTGAACAATTTGTGGGTACAGTTGGGCTTTATCACTTTCTTTGAAAATGTGATTTTATTGCAGTGAAATTGATATATTAAGGAATATTTTGAGCATAAAACAGTTTTGAGTTGCTTAATGTATGATCTCCACTCATAAGCTAAAACTTTTCTGAGGCCCTTTCCACAGGCAAACTTCAGATCTTTTTCAAGATAAAGTGCCGTGTGTATTGTATCTCTTCTGTGCAATAGGAGAGAGGGGATGGCTTCCAGAACTCGCCCTCCCACCAGATGCCACCTGCCCAATTCGAAAAAGACTTTCCCAAACAGGGGCCTGAGGCTGCACACTCTGCTGTACATTATCGTAATGTTTATGTATTGCTCAGCTGTTTAATCTGTAAAACCATTTTTACTGGACTCCTACCTTTTTTATATGTCATTGACAAAGTTTTGGGGAATTTTGCCCTAACCCCATTTTCCCTATAAGCCCTGTCGTTTTTCTTATATGATTTTGTGTTTTGGGCACACATGTGGCATGTGTCCACTTAGAGCAGAAATAACTTTTGAACCCAACCCTAAGTGCCTGTTTACATCTTTTACAGATAATAATCACCCCTTAATAACCTGGCAGACTTGCTCCAAATCTTTTTAGTTCTAACAATTCCACAGTCACTTTTAGCCTTATAGCAGCCTCTTACCTCTCACCAACTTGCCCCACCCAATTATTCACTCTTATTAATTCACTTTACTTTCTCATTTTTCTACTTATTTCACCTTACCTCATCTTGCCAACTGTTTTAACTTTCTTGAGTCTACTTCTTAACATTCTACTCCCTATTTTTCCTTGATCCAGCAGTAGACTTTGGGCCAGTATCTGGGCTTAGAGAGTTTCTTGTTTAATTTTTCTTCAGTTTCTCCCAAACAAGGAGATTTCTCTAGATTGGAAAGAACTGGGATAATTGTCTGGGCAGTCTGCTGGAGATGACAAGGGAGAGTATGAGATCAAGGTCACATGAAGAAGGGTTGGCCTTGTTGAGGAGAAAGATTACCTTTTTTTTTTGTCAGAACCTGGAGTAGAGGAGATGTCAGGGGGTTTTGAGTTGTAGAGAAGGGAATCTCTGCTAGTGGTGAAAAGAGCTTTTTACTTAGTAAAACATGAGGTCGGGTACTCATCCCAGATGGTAATCTTACAAAGATTTTTTTATCTTGATTGATATGACTAACTTTTTTTTTTTGCCTAGATCAGAAACCTTTATTTCATTAAAAGAGACTTTTCCTTAATTAACAGATACAACAGAAACTGTTGACTTCCAGCCTGCTTCGCCCACATCCCCTGTACAAACTGTCCTACCTTTTTTAAAAAAATCTTTTTTAACATCTGTTTTTAAAATTTTGAATTCCAAAATCTCTCCCTTTCTCCCTCCCCATGCCTCTCATTGAGAAGGCAAGCAATTCCATATAGGTTATACATATGTAGTCATGCAAAACATATCCATAATAGTCATCTTGTGAAAGAAAACATAGACAAAAAAAAATTCAAGAAAAATAAAGTGGAAAAAAAAAGTTGCTTTACTCTGTGTTCAGACACCATCAGTTCTTTCCCTGGAGATAGATAGCATTTTTCATCTTAAGTCCTTCAGAGTTGTCATAGATTGTTGTATTGCTGAGAATAAGTCATTCACAGCAGATCATCATACAATTTTGCTGTTACTTTGTACCCAGTACATTTCACCTTGCATCAACCCATGAAAGTCTTTCTAAGTTTTTCTGAAAGCATCCTGTTCATCATTTCTTTTTTTTCTCCATCATTTCTTATAGTACAATAGTATTCCATCATAATTACATACCACAATTTATTCAGCCTTTCCCCAGTTGGTGTGCATCCCCTCAATTTCTAATTCTACCCGCAAAAAGATCTGCTATAAATATTTTTGTACATATAAGTCCTTTTCCCTTTTGTTTTTAATCTTTTTTGGGATGCAGACCTAGTAGTGGTATTGTTCTGTCAAAGGGTATCCATGGTTTTATAGCCCTTTGGGCATAGTTCCAAATTGCTCTATAGAATAGTTTGATCAATTCACAACTCCGACAACAGTACAGATAAGGGAACTGAGGCAAACAGAGGGAGGACAAGCTCAGGGCCACACACCTAGTAAGTGTCTGAGACTGGATTTGAAGTCAGATCTTCCTGACTCCAAGCCCAGTGTTTTATCCACTGTAATACCTAGATGCCTCTAAAAGGAAGAATTTCATTCTCTGTGGACCTTATGATTTACTAATTCTATTTGATAAATCACTTTTAGCAGAATTTGATATTCCTGTAAAGTTTAAAATAGGTTTTGGATATAGCCTACCTGAGCACACAGCTTTACCCCTAGACTTTCATCGGCTCTCTCTAAAGCTCATAAAAATCGCTCTCTCAAGAGACAGAAAAAGGAAAGAGAGTTTCTGAGACCACAACACTGAAGAGTCTAAAAAGAGAAGGCACCCTATGTAAAAAAAAGTAACCATATCAGATTAGATAATAGGACAGAAAAAGTAAATGACAAATGTAGGAAGGGATGTAGGAAAAATGAGATGTTAATGTGCTGTTGTCAGATTTGCGAATTCAGCATTTATAGAAATTAAATTTTCTGTAAATTTTTTCATTAATGCTCATTTCATAGCTCTAAAATGAAGATAGTAATAGCACCTACTTTCCAAGGTTGTTGTGAAAACAAATTAAGATATTTTTAATGTGCTTTGCAAACCCTAAAATGCTACATAAATGCTAGCTCTTATCTCATTTGACTACAGGACATAATACATGGTTATTTAAATTCATCATCACTAAATGATTTTGATGTATTTAAAGTTTTTAAAACCATATGTTCACATTTTATTTTTCCTGCTTAGATTCATACTTTGGGGACAAAAGTTCTTTTGCAGAAAATGTTAGTGCACTGAATTTTACCTCTGTTGCAAGTTCATCTTCAGCAAGAGATAGCAGTTTTGCTCCAGTCATAAAGACACCATCGGCTTTTGGTAATCCTCCCAGATCCAGTTATGGAAGTAAGACACCTCAAATGGGACATTCAGGTAAAAAGCAAGAATGTGAAACTGTTACATTAACATGTTGAATTTTATTTCTGTAGAATCACAAACATCTGAAGTGAATGGTGATGGTGGTGGGATGGTTGATTTATTTGTTATGGAGTATTAAAGTAGGAAATGAGACTGGACAGACTTTCTTCTGAGGTTGTCCTGAGAGTCACGAAGTCTGCTTTGGGTACAAACAATGAGCTCCCTGTTACTGCTCAAGCAGAGGCTGTCAGGGGCTTTAGATGAGAGAGAGAAGATTCCTGCACCTACGTATAAGAATTGCTCATGTGGGGAAGCTGGAGAGGAACACATCAGGCTTGGGACATCCCTTCTGTACTTATTAGCGTGTTGACCTTGGACAAGTAACTTTGCTTTGCTGGGCCTCCATCTGCTCATCTGTGAAACAGTGTGTGGGACTAGGTGCTCCCTTGGGCCCTCACAGCCTCACAGGTTCTATGACTTATTCGTTCTCTGGGGAAAACCTTTTGCCAAAGTGGGAGATGGGATCTCACCATCTTGAATCTTCATAGAGTGTGCCATAAGCTATTCTCACAGGGTTAGAGGGACTGCCGTAACTTTCGTTACCTTTTCTTTCACCACCCTCATGCAAAAAATAAAATAACTACCCAGCTACAGAGTTTCCAAAACACATATCCTCCTTTTTTCATTTCAGCAAGGAAGCCTGCTATGTCTGATTTTTGTTTGTTTTTGTTTTGGGGAAAGCAAGTCCCAAAGCAGCAGACTATTTAGGATCCTAGTTATAGCAGAAGGTGCAGTTTGCTTTAACCCCAAGTTATTGTCATTAAATAGCTGACTGGGAAAAGTAAGAGAACTAAGTAGAATTAGGGCCTTGTTGCACATTTGGAAAATAGGTATGCTTCACACTGTGGTAGAGTTCTCTTTCCTTCTGCAGATCTTAAATAATCAGTTGACTAACAATTATGAAAGTAAAAAGAACATCACTGCAACTTAAAAGGGACCCTGGCCTGCACAAGACCCACCTGGCAAATGGTAATGCTGGTCACTGTGCTCAGCACTGAGGGTACAGAGAAAAGAGCTGAACAAGGCTCTACTCTCGAGCCACTCATTGGAGAACACCCACATATATGTCATAAGGAGATTCAAGGTCACCTCAGAGGGCAAGCTAGCCACTGGGGGGAGCAGGAAAGGCCTTTGCTCTTCAGGGAGAAGCCTCAAGTACTTGAAATAAGTGGAGGTGAGGACAGAGGACATTGCAGGCAGGTACACAGACAGCTGCCACAGGTCAAGTCCACAAGTATTTATTAAGTGATCGCTACCCCATGCCTGGCACCGTGCTAAGCCCTGCAGATGCAGTGAAAGGCAAACTGATAGCTCCTGCCCTCAAGTTTACTTGTAAAAAACTAGGTAGATCCGAGCTGTGTGCAGAGTGGATAGACAGTTCTGTGAAGGGAAGGCCTGAGTCTGAGGGGGCCAGGAAGGGCCTCTTATAGGAGGTGGGGTTTGGTTAGAGGAAGTTGGGGAAGCCAAGGTGGGAGTTAAAGGACCAACCATTTCAGATGTGGGGTCAGCCAGGGCAAAGGTGGGAGGTGGGTAGCTGTGTGTGAGAAAGTAAAGGCTGTGGAAGGGAGTAAGGATTCAAAAAACTGAAAAATTAGGAAGAGACCAGGTTATGCTGAGCTTTAAGTTCCAGTGAAAGGAGTTAGAATCTGATCGTGGAAGTGACTGTGAGTTACTGGGGCTCACTGGGATGAGCTGGTCGCTGAGAGTGGAGGGTAGGTTGGTGCTGAATATGAAGGGTTAGAAGGCCATGGCAGGAATGGCAGGGGAGAGAGGGAGAGCCAGGGTGGGGTGGAACGTGAGGCAAACAGGAGCTGCTGTGAAGGTGGGAGAAACAAGATTTGGCAGCAGATCAGCTTTGAGGGCAAGGAAGGAGTTGAACATGCCCCAAGGTAGGAAGCCAGGGTGATGGGAAGGGGAGGTGATACAGAGGGTCCAGAGGCAAGGATCAGCCAGTCAGTCAATCATCAGGCATTCATTAACTGCTTACACTGTGCTGTGCACTGTGCTAATACTGGGGGATCTGTACAAAGAATGGTAAAAATAGGCCCTGCCCTCAAGGAGTTTACCTTCTAATGGAAGACAGTAAATACAGATGAAGAACGGGTTTGGGAAGAGCTTTAAATGCTTGACCTAGGCATTCAAAGAGGTTCATTTTACTTAGGGACTGTTCATATTGTCAATGTAGCACAGTCCCTTTGGGCCAGAGCTTGGTAAGAGGACTTCTACTCAGAGTTCTAAGGTTGTTGTTGGGCTTTTTTTTTTTCTCATCTTCCTGGCCAAGGAATACTGCACATTTAAATTGGGTAGGTTTTGGGTTCAAGTCCATGGCAGTTTCCAACTGGCGGATGACAAGCTAGAGAGGGAGGCAGTAATGCTCTCCATTTCTTACCGGAGGAGGGGCCGGGTCTGGGATGTTCAGGGAGTGCTCGGCCCCCTGCTGCAAGGGCTGCTTCTCCAACTTTGGTGTCCATCTGGCACTCGGCTCTCGCCTGTGGCTACAGGAAGCTGTAGCACACACAGCAGCCAGACCCAGGTAAACTGTTTTGGGAGACAGGCTAAACGAGGTTGAGGGTAACCTAGAGGCCTCACATCAGTTGGTGAGATAGGGGGATGTCTACCCCAAGTGTGTGAAGACTTTCCACCATCCACCCCGTGGGTGGTTGAGAATACTTTGTTCTAGTGGCTGTGAAGGCGGTTGGAGCAGATGTCACAGAGTGCACAGAGCTTGGGTGGGCAAGTCTCTTGTTCTGATTCAGTTGCCTTTCTTAACTTTTTATAGTTACGTCCTCATCTGCAGTCTCGACTCACTCTGTTACCTCGGTTATTGTCGCGGTTGTCGAAGGGAGAGGGCTTGCCAGAGGGGAAATAGGAATAGCAAGTATTGATTCGAAAAGGCCTCAAATTGTGTTATCCCAGTTTCCTGACAACACGACATATACCAAGGTAAGTATAGAACAATACGAGATCAGGAACTCCGTGACATTTTTCAGGTTTATTCTTTAGGAATCAGATGATTTATTGGTAGAATAGTAATCATGATTTCTTGGGTACCAATCTGAACTAAGATAGAATTATTATTAAGCATTGGCTTAATTATTAAAGTTTTAATTTTGGTTCAGAGCTTGATTTCATCAATGTGGGACTCCCACCACAGTTTGCGAGCAACAGCTTCCAGCCCATCTGTTGTTAATTGTCATGCTCAGGCCCTCTGAACCCCTCTGGTGTGTTGTGGGCCGTGGGCTGGTGAGGCCAAGGGAGGAAGGCTTTTTCAGAATCATGTTTGTAAAGGCATGCAGTAAAACACAGAGGATTACCAAGTCAGTCTGCTAGTCAGTAAGTCAACATTTAGTAAGTGCCTACTGTGTGCCAGCCACCGTGCTAAGTACTGTGGACCTCTCAAGGAACTCAAGTCTAATGGAGACAACATGCCAACAGAGACGTACAAAGCAAGCCCTGTGTGGGATAAATAGGAAATAAAGGTGCTGGAACAAAGAGGCTTGGGGAAGGCCGGGGAGGTCAGTGGTCAGAGAAGAGGAGGGAGAGCCTTCCAGGAATGGGGGACAGCCAGAGAGAATGCCCAGAGCCGGGAGATGGAGCGTCTTTTTCGTGGAGCAGCCAGGAAGCTAGGGTCACTGGATAGAAGAATACATGTGGGGGTGTCTGGTGTAAGAAGACTAGAAAGATGGGGTGGGGTGGGTTGTGAACGGCTTGGAACACCAAACAAGATTTTATATTTGATTCTGAAGGTGATTTGGAACCCAAAGGAAACCAGTTCTATTGATGTAGATGTGTCAAGTGCTTTAAAACAAAATTCATGGACCCTGGGTCAAGCAGCCTGCCCTAGAGAATGGCTGGGGTTGTTGGGAAGTCCAGAGACTGACCCAAGGTCATAAAGTTGGCCCAGGCAGGACATTAACTCAGGTGTTCTTGATTCCAAGGCCAGTAAGTTAATGGCCTTGTGCCAGGTTGCCTCTCTCATAGTAAAAAAAATGGGCTAAAAAAAGATATTGGGCTCATATTTTAAAATTTCCAAATGGCTTTGAAATTTTAGATTCTGAGATTTAATACTGTAAATTAAAACCACCTGCGGCTTTTGGACCAGAGAGCTGGGTGGCATAGTGGATCAAGTACTGGAATTGGAGTCAGGAAGACCTGAACTAGAATTTTGCTTTGAAACTTATGAAATCTGAGGCGCTGAACAAGTCCCTTAACCTGATGCAGCCTCACTTTCCTCATCTGTAAAATGGAAATAATAATAATGGCACCTACCACACAAGGTTGTTGTGGAGATGAAATGAGGTAAGATACACAAAGCCCTTTGGACACCAGGTGCTGCCGGTGTTAGCTCTGTCATGAACTTGTAGTCTGTTGGTGGGACGACTTGGTTCTCCAGCAGGACTCTAAAGCCAGAGGGTCGTCTGTTGGACAGAACCCTGTTCTAGGCCCCTCCTTTGTAGAGAACAGAGCTAAGGCCTGGACAGGTGGAGTTGGGGCAGCACCAAGGCCACATCCTAGCGTGCTTCTGCTTTACGTGCCTTTTGCACTTGGAGCATTCATTATCTCAGCAGTGCGATGGACTTTTTATTTCTCAGAATAAAGGAAATGGGGAGGAGTCATGTGACAACAAGACTGCTTGCCAAAAGGTGTGCACATGCTTTATTCACAAGACATCATGGTTCTTCCTTCCTTTCCCCACATTCCTTCACTAAGTTGAATGCCTTCTGTGTGCTGGGGGCTGTGGATAAAAGACAAGAGTGACACAGTCCTGGTTGATGCAACATGGGAGCCATCCCTTAGGATGAACATTGAGGATGAAGGACAAAGCATTCATTCAGCCCTTACTACTGCCAGAGCACAGTGCTGACCATGGGTACACAGACAGAAAACCAGGATGGTTCCTGCTCTCAGGAAGCCCGCATTCCCATAAGGGGAGAAAACACAAGACAGGTTTCAGCTGCAGATCCTTGGGGTGAAGGGCAAAGGAGACAGGGACTCTGCATCTTTGGGGTCATTTTCCCTGATACCATTTGATGGAGCCAAGGGCTATGTTGTTGAGAATCTTTTCTGAGTCTTTAGTAGCTGTGATGGCTAAGGAGGCCAGGACTTTCTCCCCTAGGTTTACTCGTTCAGCTCAGTGACAGTGGGACTAGGCTGGTAAGATCAGGGGGACCTCAGACTTATTTGCTTTTGTGTACTGCGTACATGATGGCTCGGGAGGAAAGAGACTGGTGACTTTGCAGAGCCCTCCCTCATTTCATGACATCTCCTTCCTGATGCCACGGTCCTCTTCGAGAATAAGGACAAACAGTGATTCTATACCTAATCATATCCACTGATCAACCTGTCTGTTACCCAGCACCAAATTGTCTTAAGGACTACAGCTGTGCCATGTGGTCTGCGATCTGGTACTGCCCACTTCCTTCCCAGTGTTTTTCATTAAGTCTCTTCATATAGCTTGACCTTTTGTTCCTGTAGTTGAATTTTGACACATTCTGTCTCTTGCCTTTCTTTTGAATTCCATGTTAATCTTTAAGTTATTAATGTATTTCCTGCAAATGACATATTGTTCGATATTCCTTTCCAACCCATTCTGCTCCCCTTCTCCTTTTCATGATTAGAGTAGCTTCCAGAGACTTAGGACTCTTCCTTCTTCAGCCATGTCCAGCCTCTTATTCCCACCTTCCCCTTTCCCAGTCCTACCTGTATGTATCCATGATGAGCATATTTCTGCACTAAACTCTCTGGGTGTCTTCATCTTTGTAGTCTTCCTTTATCTGGTTCAGATAAAAGTGAGGTCAGGAGATGTTTGTTCCTCCACACTTTCATGCCTGTTTGTTTACTCTTCTTTTCATGCACCCTATTTATACAAAGTAGTAAATTCCTCGCCCTTCTTTTTCTCATTTATTTTCTGGTACATTCTTCCCCCCTCCCTACCCGCCCCTTTCTTCTATTTAAACCAACAAAACCCCCACCTAGTCCTAACTCTTTCTGTGACCAGTGAAGAGACTAAGATTGTAAAGGGAAATTTCTTTCTTCTCTTCCTGTTAGATTCATCATTTAGCCTTTTCTAATGTTCAAATGTATTGACTTGTCTATGCCTCGACACTCTTGTGTTTACATTTCAAAGTTTCTACCCAGCTCTCTGTTTTTGTTTTTCATCAGTTATTCTTGAAAGACCTTTATTTTCTTAAAGTTAGACATGATAACTCTCTGCTGAGCTACACTCAGTTTTGGAGGGTGAAATATTCTCAGTTTTTATCCTAGCCTTTGTCCTAGTCTGAGATTTTCTCTTCTTTAAACTGGCAGCTGCCAAGCCTTGGTTGATCCCAACTGGCTCCTTGCTACTTTAATTTTTTCCTGTATGACTGCTTGCAGTTTTTGTTGTTGTTGTTGTTTGTTGTTTGTTTTGGACTTGGAAGCTCTGGATTTTGAAGTGTTTTCAATTTGGAGTTTCATTCAGTAGGTGATGGTGGATTCTGTTTCTGATAGATCTGGGAAGTGTTTTTATGATTTCTTGAACTATGATGTTCAGGTTTTTTTGTCTGGTCATGGCTCCTGGGGCCTTGGCGTGGGTGGAGGTGGTAGGAGTTTAGCCTCTGCAGGGAAGAAGAATGTTTGATCTTTAACCACCACGAGGGGGAGAACCTTTGGGCCAAGTGACCACCCCACTTAGAGTTTGTGAAGTGAAGTGAAGAAGAAGAAGGCCAGGAGGAATATTCTCACCTGCCTGAGATTTTGTGAGAGGAGATTTTAGAGCATCCAGAAGAATGTCAGAGTCAGAAGCCTATGGACTAAACTGGGGGCAGTGGAGGAAGCCAATCCAGGAAGAATGGGAAATGCTCAGTAGTGATATTCTGAAGACATAATATAGTGATTAGAAAGAGGAAAAAAAAAAGGGAAGTTATTTGGGGAAAAAAAAAAACAGTATGGATACAAAGAGAACTGCCAGCCAATTTAGATTAAAAAGACATGTGCAGAAAATAGATGTAAGAGTAGATTCCAGAGAGTGCAGCGAGTTCAAAAGCATGGCAGAGCCTGGGAGAATAGTATCGAGTTCTAAAGCTCAGAAGATCAGAGGGGAAAAGAGCAAGGTCAGAGATTGAAAGGACTGTGATGGGACAGTGACCCCTGATGGCAGACACAATTCAGAGCTACTGGCTTCTGGAGAATGACCTCTTGACTTGAGTAGACAGAACAGGAGATGCCCAGTGGGAAGTTGTTAGCCACGATAAGTAAAGACATGATGAGGAGGCACAGCGCCATTAGTGAGCCCAAGTGCCCTGGCCCCGGAGAGCTGCATCTTTGGGTCAGGGGTGTCTGCACATGAGTGATGTCAGGGTACCCCTGAAATATCCAAGTGTGTGCAATGCTGTAAGTGATACTTCTGAGCCTTGTAATGCAAGCTTTCATATGAATAATGAGTGACATTTATGTATTGCTTTAACATTTACAAAGGGCTTTCAGCAACCTGCTTAAACTGGTATCTTAAATATTATTTTCCTATTTTACAGATAAGGAAATTAGGGCTCATGTATTTTAAGTGACTTACTCATGGTTACACAGCTAGTAGAGGAGCTGTGATTTGTCAAGGTTTCTCTAAGAAAAATGAATGTTGTGGTATACCCCGCAGTTTGTCAAGTTCTAACAGTAATACCTTTTCTAATCAGTGAAATCCCTGTGTGTACTAGAAGTCTCGTGCAGGAGGGTAGGCAGCTGCAACATGCCTCTACCCACCAGACATCACCCCAACTTACAAATGATCCTAATGGATTGGAAAGTTTCTGTTGTCCAGATTTGACCCGTCTCTGTGCAACCCTAGACATATTGCTACAAGTAGAGGAGACAGGGCTACAGGGAGAGGATAGGAGGACTCAAGACAAACAAAGCCAAAAACTAATCTAAAGTGAGGTAGTGCATTTGAGAAGCTGGAACATCTTCTCAATGGGGGACTTGAACCCGGGTTGTTTCAGAGTATTTCAAATAGAGTGTAGCCTAACTTGATCACGATGATGTTAGTCTATGTTCACATAAGATACATATGAGACATATTTTAATATGCAGCGGGAAGTTAATATAATTAGTGGAAATGTAAGTAATTGTCTGTTTGGGTTTTTATTTAAAGAGACCTCTTGATGAAAATGATTTTTTTGTGTGATTCAGAATATACCTTAAACTAGTATTTTAAGAAGCTGTTTATGTAAACTTTTTCAGGTAATTACCAAACTAAAAATTTTAGCACCATTGGAAATAATAATGTCTAACACTGCCTGTGTTGTGGGAAATTCGACTAAGCTCTTCACCTTAATTACAGAGAACTTCCAGGTAAATTAAAAAAAAATTTTTTAACATTTAACAGGGATGAAATAAAAGATACATAAAGCTCTATCTTTCATGTTAAGGAGTACAACCACTGGTAGCCTGCATGTGAGGTGTGGTGGATGGGAGCAGGGGTGCTAGCTGAGCTCCCTACTCTAGTTGTAGGGCCCCTTTGCTTAATCCGTGGGCTTCTGCTTCCAGCCTTCTCCTGGATGCTCTAAAATCTCGACTCACAAAATCTCAAGGCAGGTCAGAATATTCCTCCACTTTAGCCTTTTGGAGACTCGGGTTGGCTTAATAGCTGTCTTCAGGTATTTGAAGGCCTATCATACGGGAACAGAGATCCAGTTTGGACTGTTCAGCCTTAAGGGTAGAATTGAGACTAATAGGAGAAGGTGGCAAAGAGGAAAATTTAGGCTAAATGGAAGGAAATCAGTGCTGTCCCCAAGTGGGTTGGGCTGCCTTCTTTGAGAAGGCGCTTCTCCTCAGGGAAGGGCTTTAAAAACTGCCTGGATCATTGCTCTTCAGGTAGATTGAGGGGGGATGGGCTGGATTAGATGACTAATAACATCTTTTACAATTCCAGAATTTTTGATTTATGGTTTTAGGAATAATTGAGAGCTGTGTGAAGGATGTATTGGAGTTAGGTGGGAATTATAGTTGTCCATGTGAGAAATGATGAAGGCCTGAGTCAGTGGAAAGGAGAGGATAGAAATTAGAAATATCCTGGAAGCAGGATTGATGAGACGTGGCAGCTCACTGGCTAGGAGTGTTTAAGGAGAGAGAAGAGTCTCAGATCAATTCGCAAGCATTTATTGTGTCTGCTCTGTACTAGGTACTGTGGTGGGCCATAGACAGCTTGAAAGGTGAGAACTCAAATGACAGGCTGTCCACTGGTCATCTTTTGCTCTTGCTGTTTGATCGACTGACCTTTCCCCCGCCCCCTCAGTCCTGCACTTCTGGGGCACTGCTTGTCAAGTCAAATCAACAAGAATTATTTAAGTGCTTTGGATATAAAGAAAGGTAAAAACCCCAGTCCCTGGTTTCTAGGCCATCACAGCTCACTGGAGACACAAACATGCAAACAGCTGTGGACAAACGTTGTATTCAGGACTAAATGGAGGCAGTCTTATGGGAAGGCAGACTGAGAAAGACTTCTTGCCGAAGACGGGATTTGGTGGAGGCTTGAAGAAAGCCAGGGAAGTCAGAAAGCAGAGACAAAAAAGGGAGAGAGTTCTAGGGGCAGAGGACAGCCAGTGAGAATGCCTGGAAGTGGCAGTGGGAGCATCCTGTGTGAGGGACAGTAAGGAGTCCTTGGATGATGGTGTGTGGCAGGGAGGAAGTGTAAGAAGACTGGAAAGGGAGGAAGGGGCGAGGGTTACATTTGAATCTGGAGGAGATAGGGAGCCATTGGAGCTTACTGAATGTAGGTGTGACAGAGACACATCGGGGCTCCCGGGAGAACTTTGGCAGCTGAGTGGCCAGTGAACTGTGGCTGGAAGAGCTTCGCAGGATGGAGACCAGGCAGTGGCTATTGGGACGGCCCGTTTGTGTTGTCAGCAGGCTGTGGTTGGTGCTGGCCAGTCTTCTTTGGCTGATACGCTCTAGCCTCCTTACGTCTGCCTTTGTGGGGGCCTGTGGAGATGGATGTTCTAGGACCAGGAGCAGTGTAAGAGTGGGAGAAGAGGATTGCATGATCTCCAAGCCCTGGTCTTTATCCCCAAGGATGCTGACAGAAGACCTGAGTCTTCTTGTCCTTGGGTTTCTTTTCCCTTGTAATTTGTCATAGGAAGGAGAGAAAGTAATTTAACTTCCACATTTACGTGTTGGACAATGGATCCTTTTGCTCCAAGACATTAAAAGTTTGGACAGTACTTAAGCAACCCATCCATGTGCTTAAATGGGCTTGAAAGTACAGCAGTGGAACTAGTGTTTGAAGAATCTGTTTTGAGATCACAACTTTCTTTCAGAACGTGACTTTCACTACCATTCAAAGGAAATACTTCAACGAAACTAAAGGGTTAGAGTACATCGAGCAGTTATGCGCAGCAGAATTCAGCACTGTCTTAATGGAGGTTCAGTCCAAGTAAGTATCATTTAGAAACAATATTGACTGTGCAGCTTAAAACGAACATCAAGGTTCACTTAAATGTCCTCACCTCAAGTCTATAAACATCTGCTTCCCCAACTTCTGCCATGATCCACCTCAGCCACACATGGGGATGGTTGCGGTCTTGGTCTTCCCATCGGCCATCCGGGTTCCTTTGCTGTAATAAAGAGCTTTGAAGCTTTTCTGTCCAGCCAGAAACTCTGCTCGTTCCATCTCTCCCTAGGCCTTGCTGCTCTTAAGCTCACTCTTTATCATCACTTCACCCTCCCCTGCATCTTCCCCGTCAGGCTCTTTAAGCGCCATTCACACTCGGCTGCATTTGCCTTCCTGCCTCATCTTGGTCCTGTAGTTAGTTCGGTTTTGTACTGTTGTTTCTCCCGCTTCCTTGTCCCCTTGTCCTGTTTCTGCTCGTACTCTGCTATAACCTCCAATACTTATTTATTACCCCCTCTATCTCTCCCTCCTGCCATATAAATCAACCAACCAATCAGTATTCTTTTATTGAGTGCCTGCTGTACGCCAGGCACTGTGCTAAGTGGTGGGGAGTCAAAAAGAGGTGCTTACAATCTAATGGGCAAGGCAACGTGCAAACCAGAAATACAAAGCAAGCTAAATGCAGGATGAAGAAGAAATAATTAATAGAGAAAAGGCACACCTCCTCCTCTGCTTCCATTCCTATGCTGCAGAATCAAATGTTTCTAGAGGAAGTCACCTAACATGTCATTTTTGTGTGACCTAATTACAACTGGGCCCTCATTGCAGCAAAGCAAATCTTTGATTCTTCTCTGATTTGGGAAAGGAGAATGGGGTCGTGTTTTGGTCATGTTGAGTTTTAGATACCTAGGCAGTATCCAATGGGAAGTGTGCAGTAGGCAGTTGGTGATGAAGGATTGTGGCTCAGGAGAGAGTTTAGGACTGGAATATGTGTTTGGAAGTCAGACAGAGAGAGTCTGTGAGGGTGGACGACATCACAAGGAGAGAAGAGAAAAGGGCTTGTCCAGAGCCTTGCAGGGATGCCCACTTAGGAGGCTGGACTGGACGATGAGCTTGAAAAGGCGATGGAGAAGGAATAGCGAGACAGATGAGAGGGAAACCAGCGGCGAGGAGCATCAGAGTGCAAGGTAGTAGGCGAATGAAAGAAAAGAAGGTGAGGATAAGAAGAGAGAGATGAGCAGTGTAGACAGAGCTTTCTGAGCCGTTGTTAAAAGGATGAGGGAGACTTGGATATTGTCTCCAGTAAAAAGTCCACAGAGGTAGACTGAGGCATGTTCTTGCTGAGCAAGATAACAGTATGTTAATAGGGCACCGAATCTATTAATAAAGGGGTCAGTGGCTTGCCTCCCTTTGTGCCAAGACCCCAAGATGAAGACTGAACTTCTTTTTATGGGGGTAGAACAAAGAATAGGGCAGGATAGGTGACATCGTGGGGTTGAAGACAACATGGCTGGTTGCGTAACTGAGGGGAGGGGAACAATATGATTAGTTGGAAGTTGGTAATTGAGGGGCTACAACAGCCCCCTCCTTCCCTCCTGTGACTAAGAAGTGTTCGTTGTTTGAATCTGCCGGCAAGTTAAAAGATGGTGGCCCAGACCTCTTTGGATAGCAAACCAGATGTCCTTGAAGGAAAGCTTAGCGTGTAAAGATGCCTTGACTCCCTGATGGAGGACAGTAGAATTCTTGGAGGAAAGAGAAGGACTGTGATTAGCAGGAGAGCTGGATTTCTGAACTTAGCCCATTACAGGCCAGCTGAATGGACACAGCTACATTCAGAGATAAGCATGATCCAGGCAGGTACGGGACTGAAGTGATTATAAATAGGATCATTAAAAATGATACAGAATCAATTCAGTCTTCTCAGCTTATTTGTGGGCAGCAGAGGAGCCAGAAGGAAGTGGTAGAGAATTCCAGAGAAAGGGGCTGAGTGGGGTGTCACTGCTGTAGAAAAGATGGGAGGAAATGGACTCCATGCTGTAAACTGAAGGACGGGCTTTGGTGACGAGAAGGGCCACAGCTTCCTCTGAGGAGAGGAGGAGATAGTTCGGAGAGGAAGAGTCCGGGAGAAAAAGGAGCTCACAGAGTGGCCTCTGTGTGGTCAGTGAAGTCTGAGGCAGTGGGACCAAGGGGCGGCCGAGGGTCAAGAGAAAACCGGAACAGTTGTTCATGGTAAAGAGACACCTGGCTCGTGGGATACGGTCAGTGAGTCAGTCAGTCAGTCATGAGTGTTCAGGTAGGAGTTGCTTCTCAAGGTTACCTTGCTTCAGGGAGGTCCCAGCGAGGCATCATGAATTTGTAAAAGAAAGCTTCTCTTTTTTCATTATTCGTTTTTATTATTAAGACTTGTAGAAACATCTTGTGTTGGTTATCTTACAGGTACTACTGTCTGGCAGCTGTTGCTGCTCTGCTGAAATACATGGAATTTATTCAGAATTCAGTGTATGCACCAAAGTCATTGAAGGTTTGTTTCCAGGGCAGTGAGAAGACAGTCATGATAGATTCCTCATCAGCTCAAAACCTCGAATTGTTAGTTAATAATCAGGATTGCAGGTAACATTGTTCCATTTTTAAAAGCCCACAATATCCTTTTAAAAAAACATTGTATTTGCCTAAGGATGTTGCTGATTTAAAGTTCTTTGAACTCTTTGGGGAATGTTGTGTAAATAAATTTTTATCATCATTTAATATTCATTAACCCTTCTAACACATAGCTAAGAGGCAGCTGGCTTTGCGTTAGAAGGACCCAGTTGAAGTTCTGCCTTTGACCTATACTAGCTGTGTGTCTGTAGACAGAATCATTTAACCTTAGACTTCAGACTGCTGAGTAGTTGCTGATGTCCATGGCGGGAGTCTCCACACCAGAAGTTCCCTACACAGATTAAATCACAGATCTGATAGTCTTTCCCTCCTCTCCTCCTTCCACCTTGCTCCTCCAAAAAAGGCATAATTAAATTATGGGTTGTATACCAGAAGAACTAACTCGGTTTTCAGACCCAACTGTGTGTGGATTAATAGCCTGAAGTCATAAACATACTCCTCACCAAGGCAGGAAATTCAGGAAATTACCAGGGCTTATGACGATGAGGAACATAACTCACCCACCTAGAAGCTGCTGGAAGCAGACAGAGCACCCCAGTGATCCCTCTTAAGTCCTAAATAATTTATCTGCAACATTCGGGAGGCTCACTGTAGTCTCTGGGGGCTTTTGGTAACCTGGGTCTTCCCCAAAGCTGTTCTCAGAGGGCATTGCCTCGCTCCTCATTATCATCCCCAACATTTACGTGGTGCTTGGAGGCTTAAACTGCTGCGTGTACGTTATCTCATTTGAACCACAGAAGTTACTATTCCTATCTTTTGTGAGGAAACTTGGGGTGATAGAGGGTGAGGGGCTTGCTCTGGGTCCCAAAGCTTATGAGGCTTTAAATTCAGAAGCAGCAGGCCCACGACAACCACTGAGGAACCTAGTCATGTTGTCAGTGGTCAGGGCAGAGTTCTGTGATGAACAAGGCAAATTTAGAGAGTTTGGGGCTCTGTTTGCAGAAGATATTGGTGAGAGTATAAAATAGGTGAATAAAGAATGGACTGCCCCTGCAGGTTTGGGGGAAGGGGTAGAAATAAAAACAGAAGCTTGCAATTGGCACGTGAGGAACAGGGGTATGAAATAAACAATCAAATAATGGATCAGTTTGGAAAAGTTTGGGGCTCAAATTTTCAGTTATAAATAATGAATAATAATAAATGCTTTACATATGAAATCTCATTTGATCCTCAGTCAATTGAAGTTAGTGTTACAGGTATTATTATCCCCATCTTACAGATGAGAACATTGAGGCTAAGGTGACTTGCATATGGTCACATTGGTAGTAAGTACCTGAGGCAGGATTTCAACCCAAGTCTAACTGAGGCCAGCACTAAATCCACTGTATGATAAACCCTTGTGTTTGGGTTTCATTAAGAGTGAAAAATTCGATGCCATGGATTAAATGCCAGAGGGGGTGATAGGGCAATATAGATGGCTTCTCAACTCAGGCTTCTGCTTATTCCAACAGGAGTTTAGAACTGAGCTATCAAAATTGTGTGATTATTTCTTTAAATTTTTCTTTGCTGGCATGAAGTTCCCTATGGTGAAATCTGTAGGCAGGAAGGTTCATTTTTCGTGGTCTGATGTAAATTTAGAGGCCTAAGTTATCTAAACTAGTTCGTTCTTTGCTTTGTGGTGCTCAGTCTTAATGAGGTAACTCTCAGTTGGTAGAGTGCTGTGTTTGGTTCTGGGCTATAGCAATCTCCATTTCTTCCTTTCTGTGGTCCCTTGGTACCCATGATGTACTTTGCTATGGCCCATGTTGTTAAAGAGCGTACTTCAAGTGTTCCACTCTCTGTTCAGGGCATGGTCCCTGCTTACTGGAGGAGGAGGGTTCATGTTGACCATAGTGCTCCAGTTTCTTCAGGCAAAGTACCTAAAGCCCCTTTCATAAACAATCATCTGGTTGTTCAGTAGATTGGTGTTGGGTCAAGGAATGGTCTTAGCCACCCTTGGTGGTCTCTTTGCTAAATTTGTGAAACTAATTAGTGACCAGGAGCAGCCCCAGCAGAATGTGCAGTGGTACACATCACTGCTTACCCAATCTTACTGTTTAAGGGATTAATTTATACTTTGGGTTTTGTGATCATCATTCCTAAACACTTGCAAATGCTTAGGCAGTGAGAGGAGACAGAAGAGTATATACACATATACACATGCACACAATACACAGGTGAACACATGTGTGTGAATATATACACATATAAACACATGCACACATACAATGTGCGGAGTAAGGTTTCTATACTGGACATACTTAGCATGTGGTTGCTCAAAGGGAACAAAAGGCCAAGTGTGTCTGTACTAAGAATGAGCATCAGGGCTCAGGTGCATTTTGGGCGGAGCTGTTGAAACTTTCTTCATTCTTCTAAGGGCTTGCCCCCATGTTCACCATACCCATCGCTTAGTGATCCCTACCCATACTGAGTAGTTGATAATGGGCCACTTCCTTTGTCCTGCTGTTAGTCAGTTAAAGAAATCAAGGGCCAGAACTGTTCATGAAAGAATTATAGCTGAGCATTGATTTGCTTTTTAGAGATTATTAAAATGACAGTGCCAAAATTTGATCATTTAATTTCTGCTGATGATGAGAATTTCTAGCAGCCCACAAGGTTTTACCTGATCTATGAAAAGTTGTTTTCCCCTCTAGTAATTATTCTACTGAAATGGTCTATATTTAATGGCTCAGACATTTTGTGTTTTGAAATAAATTCCTCTCTAATTACACCCTGTTCCTAGCTTCTTAGAGTATTTGCATTTGTACTGGCCTCAATTGCAAAACATTAGCATTGTTCTTACAAGGAGTGTATAATCGATTCTGTGCCATAATCTGCGGATTTTCATGACCTGGAACAGCACGTACTTACAAACGTGTCAGATTCCAATTAAATAAGTGATAATAATAACTAACATTTACATAGTGTTGCCTGTGTGCCAGGCATTGTGCAAAGTGCTTTCCAGTGATGCAGAGGAATACATTGTAGATTATTACATAGTTTCCTCAGAAGCTTCAATGAATTTTTCCGGACTTTTTTCCTTTGCTGTGCTCCTGATGTCTTCAAAGGAGCAGCCACACTCTCTTTGGTGTTCTCAATCACACCAGAACGCCAGGTGGGAGCCGAAGACTTCGCTCCAACATCCTAGAGCCCCTAACGGATGTTGACACGATCACCATGAGACTGGACTGCGTTGAGGAACTTCTCCAGGAGGAGGAACTCTTTTTTGGTCTTCAGTCAGGTAAAGGAGTATCTTATTCTGGTTATATAAGTACAAGTTTTAAAACTATCCTGGGCTTGTGAGATGTCCCTTTTCCCCTCACCCTACTTTTCTGCTTTTAAAGTAGATAAGGGAGCTTGGGGCTGCACGCTTTGATTTCTGAAAGCAAATCTGTCTTACTTATCACGTCTAACACTACACAGTGCTTTTCACCTACTCTATTTAATAGCATCCTTATCCCTCAGACTACTTCTTTCCAGCCTTTGAATTCTTCTCCCTGATTTCCTCCCCAGTGTTCCAGGGCTACTGAGGAAGAGAAAACAGAGGAAATCCCCAGCCCCAGTTAGTTCTGTCCCTCAGCTGGGCCCTCAGGAGATGGCCACGTCTCCAGTAGTGTCCATCCAAAGCTTCCCCATGTGGGGTCACGGCGGACAACCTGGCCGGCCTTTTGTGTCCATTCAAGTCCGCAGGCATTTGTTTAGTGTCTCTATGTGTAGAGATGCGTATTGGGTTACAAGGACAGACTGGTTTACTGTCACTGTCTTAGTGGAAGCTTAAAAGACTTCTTTGCTCTCCTTTATTTCTTATTCCAGTTATTTCAAGATTTCTGGATACAGAACAGCTGCTTTCGGTTCTTGTACAGATTCCAAAGCAAGACACGGTATGGTAACATGTGTCCTTTTTTTTAAGAAAAAAGTTTCATTAATGCCTTAGAGTAGTAGTTGAAAAGAACCAATACGTTTTATTAAAATCAACTGGTCTTAATATTGCTGTTATTTCCTTGTCCTTTGAGAGGAAAAAGGAAGTGATGATTTTAAAATAAAACCACCTGGTGTAATTGAGGATTCCAGCATCCTGGCCAAGCAGGAATAAGGAGTTAGCTACATAAAACATACGCAGATGACTGTTTTTCAGTGACCAGTTAAGAAAGTGTGGAGTAGGATACACTAAAGTTTCCACAAATGATTTAATCTTTCTTAATTATTTGGAATGTATTTTGGAATTGTACAGTGTCTCAGGTTGTTGTGGGCATCAATACAAAATGGTGATATTTCTGTGTGTGTGCATGGCTAGTACATGTATATGTATTTGCGAGTATTTATTTTTCAAAGTGTACTTGAAGTCAGTTTTCTTTCCAAGAGTCCAGGTTAGTTGGGCTAACAGTCACAGCCAGTCTCCCATGGAGTGTCCTGGGAGTCATTCTTGGCCTTGTGTCATTTAGACTTGCACATGATGCAAAGGTAGGGCAGAGAGCTAGCACGCTGGAAGACAGAGTCAGAAGAGTCATGGGTGAATCTTGTAAGACAAAGTTCAGTGGAGATAAACAGAAAGTCTCATAACTAGGTATAAAAAATAAGCTTCCCAAGCATAATTTGGAGAGGCCTTGCAAGACAGTGTTGTTTTTTGGAAAAGATCTGGAGACTTTTGTGGATTGCAAGCCCAGTGTGAGTCAGCAGTGGGAGGGAGCCACCAAATAAGCCTTCATTAGCGGGGCGTCATTCCAGGAAGGCACCCTGCCCTCATCACACCTCTGGAACACTGTTTGTTTCTGGTCATCACCGTTTAAGAAGGACCCTGAGAAGCTGGAGAGTACAGGAGCTGGGCAGAAAGGGAGGTGAGAGGGCCTCAAGTCCATAGCACATGAGGATTGTTGAAGAACTTGTGCGTTCCTACCCTGGCAAAGACTCAGAGACAGGAGAAGGGCCATCAGGTGGCAGAGGAGGCGTTGGCCTTGTTCTGTTTAACCCTAGAAGGCCAAGCCAGGGATGGTGGGGAGAGGCAGCAGAGAGCCAGATTTGGGCTTGGTGTCACAAACCCCCAACAGCTTCCTGACCGTGAGCACTCCCCTAATGGAGGACCTACAGATTCACCTCAGGGGCTGCTGGGGTCGGCCTCCTTCAAGGTCTTGAAGCATTGGGCGCTTGCCTGCTTGTCCCTGGAGTGTGGTCTGGTGGGACTTCTTTTTGGAGAGGGGCTGGACTAGGTGGAGCTGAGGATGCCTCTGATTCTCTCTGATTCTGAGAGATCTGGTATCTATTGAAGACCTATAATGACCTGAGGAGCATCTGTGGACATAGGGGAGGAAGGTACCAATATAAATATTTTAATTAAAGAACTAGCAAATATTTGAAAAATATTTTAGAAGTTAGAGGTGTCTTCTATCTGTTAAAAGAAAAGGAAGATGATTTAGCACATCAGTATTTTCATATCTAGATGCCCAGAAGACTGATTTGTGGTCAGTGTGCTCTTATTACTCTGTAGATTATGGATTCTGCACATCCCCATCTATACTATAAATTAGCACTAGATAATGAAACCTGTCACAGGACAAGCTGAGAAGCAGATTTTATCCATTGTAGGTATTTCACATGTTTTGTATTCATCAAGAAGGACACAAGGCAAGACTATGGAACACTGAAAAACTCAGAATCTTCAGGAAATGAGTCAGGCATTTTTCTGCTGTCTGCAAATCAAATTAGCACAGTCCTCATTAGTGCAAATTTCTCTGAAGAATCCATAGGTGAAGTTGGCCTTTTGGTAAAGTTATGCAAAGTTCAGTTAATAGAAAATTGAATCAGTTTTACATCTCTTATTTTTGTGCATTTCCACTTAGGATCTTTTAAATGATTGCACTCATGATTTATGATTTTAATATTTTTTAACTTGTGGGCATACCATTATTTTAATACCATTGTATTATATTACTTAAAAAAACCTTAAAGCAATGATAACTCAAAGTATCTATAATTTCAAATGCTGTCATGACATTATTGCTTTTTGAATTGGCATATCCATAACAGCAACAATTTTCTGACGTTAGGATGACAGGCCATTCTTTTTGTACCAGATGCAAAAGCATAGAGGGTAGTGATTCCTAATTTTAGCAGATGTCGGGGTGTGAGTGCACTTCTTTTTCTGTATATGGGAAAAGGAAGCACAGAGTTTGGGGAAATTCCTCAGTTGTATTCTGTCAGCAGAAAGTCCTTGGGAAGTTTTCTTCTGTTACCACAGAGACATATAAGGAAAAGTATGGGGGGAGAAACCCCAGGCTATCACCTGTGTCTCTGCAGGAGCATTTGCCAGGCTACATCTCCCCAGAACTTGTTTCCCATGCTGATGGCATTAGCCTAGAAGCAATGCTATTCCAAAAGTTTTGGGGTCTCTGTTGGGGTCTGAGGACATATATTGATTGCTTACTGTCTTCTCTCTCTCTCTCTCTCTCTCTCTCTCTCTCTCTCTCTCTCTCTCTCTCTCTCTCTCTCTTTCCCTCTCTCCCTTCCCCCATTCCTCCCTCCCTCTGTCCTTCCCTTCCCCCCCATTTTTCTCTCTCCTTCTGCTCCTCTTTCTCTCTGTCCTTCCCCCTTCCCTTCCTCCCTCCACTCTCCCTCTCTTTCTCCATCTCTTCCTCTCTCCCTCTTTCCTTTTCTCTGTCCCTCTCTTCCTCCCCCTTTCCTTCCTCCCTTCTCTCTCTCTCCCCCGTCTTCTTCTCGTCTTCTTGCCCTCCCCTTCCCTTCCTCCCTTCTCTCTCTCTCTCTCTCTCTCTCTCTCTCTCTCTCTCTCTCTCTCTCTCTCTCTCTCTCTCTCTCTCTCTCTATCTCTCTCTCTCTGTCTCCCCCCCTCCCTCTCCCTCTCTCCTTCCCCCTTCTCTTCCTGCCCTCTCTCTCCTTATCTCCTTCTTTCTTTGCCCTTTCTCTCTCCCTCCCTCTTCCCTTCCTCCCTTCCCCTCTCCTCCATCCCCACCCATGCCTTGTTGCATCATCTAGGCTGTTTGGCTTACCCGGTAGCTGGTATAGGTTGAGGATGACTGGCCCCTTCTTCCCAGGAGTTTCTTCCCCAGTAATGGCTGCAAGGGCTGAGCAGGAAAGCAGGACTGGTGTTCTGGTGGAGTGCTGCCACTCCTAAGGCTCTTGTGCTCAACTGCTTGTTGGTGGAAGATTTGTACTTGTGGTGATGAGTAAGGTGGGCCCCATCCTCTCCTCAGTGGTGGCTGTGGGGCTGGTTTGGAATTAGGTCTTTGGTGTTTTATGGGATTTTCCCAAGGTTCTTGCCTTCATTAAAACATAAGAAAAATCATTCTTAGTTCCTCCATTTTATTTGATTCCCTTGATGACCCTAGGTGAGCCCACAGTCCTTAGGTGATCCTTGTGTCACCATTCCTCCCATTAGAATATGAACACCTTATCCTGGCTGAGTTCATGATCTACTCTGGGCAGACCCATCCTAGAGGCTTGGAGTGCTGACTGCAGGCTGAGTCTTTCTGAGCCACTGGCTCGGGCTGAGGGCCAGTCTGTGATAGGATTTGGCATCCCTGTGCTGCCAGCCTAGCTCTGAGTTCTAGGTGCTGCGTCTTGGCACATGGCTGCTCTGGGAGACCCCTCAACGTTGGCTTTGGAGAGATCAACATTGGATGTCTGGATGCTGCTGGTCCAGTTCAGAGTTCTGGGAGGTGATTCTGCGCTCCTGCCCCACCCCAGTGCATAGTTCTTGCCTTGGTCACTGGCCTGTTGGTTGAATTTGTGATGCTGGGCTGAAAAGGTGGCCTGTTCCAGTCTTTTCTTTGTGTTTTCATCAATTCCTGGGTCTGGTGTTCTCAGATGATGACTAGCTGGTTATGACGTGGAGGAGACGGGAGCTGCCCTCCATGGCTCCCCTCTCCTTTTCTAGCTTGGCTGTTCTGCCCATTGGAGAGTTTTGAAATAACATAATCAGACACACCATCTTAGGAAATGTCTGATTTAGAGGATCTTCAGTTTTAAGTCTTTATTCCCAGAATTATCTACTCTGTAATCCAAATGTAATTCTAGCTCCTGGTCATCTCTAGGCTATTTGAAAAGAAGATACTCTTATTTTCCCTATTTCTAATCTTGGTCAAGCACTTAATTTATACTGAAAATTGTGCTAGGCAGTTATGGTAGTTACAGTTTGAATAAAATAGTCTCAGCCCTCTAGCTTGATGTATAAAGCAATGACGCACTTACTGTGTTCTAAGCACTGTGCTTAATGCCCAGGGTACAAGTACAAGACAGCAAGATGTAGCAGGAAACAAGTACAAAGAACTTACATCCTAATGGAGGAAAGGGGCGCATGAAGAGGAGCTAGAAAATGGGAGGGACTCACATGGTGCTGTGGAGTAGAGTGAAGTGGGGAAGGGAATGAGCATTTTAGTGTCAACTGTGTGCCAGGCACTGTGCTAAGTGCCTTACAGATATCTCATTGGAGATGGGAATGGAGGATGGGAGGAGAAGGAAGGACCCTGGAAAGATCAGCCAGAAGTTCTCAGAGTTTATAGTCTGGTAGATGGATAAGAAACCAACGTAGTTATGTTTTTACACAATGTTGCATGTTAAATTGCCTTAGAGAGTTAGATGACAAAGTACACCGGGATCTGAGTTGAAGCTTTTCTTAAACTTTTTTTGGCCTCCTGAGATAAGGGGTTCATCCTTTCTTATGCTTCATTTTCTGTTCTGGTTTAGGCCAAATACTCTTAGGAGCCTAAGGATACCGAAGCCCTTGAGGTTCTCAGGTACTCTGAAGGGTTGGAGTAACTTTTTCTAATGCTGTTGGGTTCAAGCTTCCATTCTTGTGTGTTTTCCTCAATGTTAATTGCTAGTTATTGCCACCCTCTTTTCATTTAGCTGATTAATGTCAATTAGTTTTTAGAAAAGGATATTTACCATAAAGTGATGGCAGGAGCAGTGGACCCAGTTTTCTTGGTTGTGTGATTTTCTCTAACTTTATTCAGTAGCATATTAGTTAGGAAGTGGAGGTGGGGGGCGGTGTGTGGAGCCAAGGTGGCAGAGAGAAGCCAGGAAGCTGCCTGAGCTCTCTCCAGTTTCCATCAGAAACAACATGAAATCAAACCCTAAACAGATTGTGGAGCCACAGAACTTACAAAAAGATAGAGTGAAACGCTTAAGATAACTTAGAAGGACTTTAGGAAAGGTCTATTTCACTTGGGTAAAAGGGGAGTGCAGCCCAGCACAGGTGACTGTTAGTCACAGCACAGATCAGCAACTGAGGCCCCTTGGTCCTGGCATAGCAGGCCAGCTGTGAGGCCCCCAGCCCCAGCACAACAGGCAAACTTCTAGTCCCAGAACCCAGGGCACACCAGGCGTGACTGGGCTGGGTCACTCCAGTACAGTGGGCAAGCTGCCAGCCCCAGAGGCCCTGGCGTAGAAAGCCAGTGACCAGACCCCCGGCCCCCCCAATGCAGGAAGCTTGGGACAGTGTCCCCTGTACTCCAGGACCAGAGCTCAACTTTTAAAAATGAGCAAAAACCAAAAAAGAGCCATGACCATTGAAAGCTGCTGTGGAACAGGGAAGATCCAGGCTCAAACTCAGGAGAGGACAACAGTGTCAAAATGCCCTGCATGTGAAGCCTCAAAGGGGATACGAATTGGTCTCAGGCCCAAAAAAGTCTTTTTGGAAGAGTTCATAAAGGATTTTAAGAATCAAGTAAGAGAAGTAGAAGAGAAATTGGGAAAAGAAATGAAAGTTATGCAAGAGAAGTATGAAAAAAGAATCAACAGCTTGGAAAAGGAAACATAAAAATTGAAGAAAACAACCCCTTAAAAAATAGAATTGGCCAAATAAAAAAAAAATTCCCCTGAAGAAAACAACTCCTTTAAAAATAGAATTGGCCAAATGGAAAAGGAGATACAAAAACTAACTGAAGAAAATAATTGCTTAAAAATTAGAATTGGGCAAGTAGAAGCTAATCACTCTATAGGACATCAAGAATCAGTCAAACACAACTCTGAAGGACTTAGGAAGAAAAATGTTGTCTATCCCCAGAGAAAGAATTGATGGTGTCTGAACACATATTGAAGCATACTTTTTAAAAACTTTTTTTCTTGAGTTTTTTTGTCTGTTTTCTTTCACAAAATGACTATTATGGATGTGTTTTGCCTGACTACACATGTTTATAACCTGTATCAAATTGCTTGCCATCTTAGTGGGGGGAGGGGGTGGAGAGGGAGTAAGGAAGAAAGTTTGGAACTCAACGTTTTAAAAACAAATGTTAAAATTTTTTTTACATATAACTGTGGAAAAAGATAATACTGAATAATTAAAAAAGAATCAGTCGAACAAAATCAAAAGAATGAAAAAAGAAGAAGAAAATGTAAAATACCTCATTGAAAAAACAACTGACCTAGAAAATAGATCCAGGAGAAGTAATTTAAGAATTATTGGACTACCTGAAGGTCATGATGGAAAAAAAGAGCCTGGACAGCATCTTTCATGAAGTTATCAAAGAATACTGCCCTGATATCTTAGAACCAGAGGGTAAAATACTCACTGAAAGAATCCACCAATTACCTCCTGAAAGAGATCCCAAAATGAAAACTCCAAGGAATATTGCAGCCAAATTCCAGAACTATCAAATCATGTAGAAAATACTGGAAGCAGCCAGAAAGAAACAATTAAAACACCAGGGAGCCACAGTCAGGATTACACAGGACTTAGCAGCTTCTACATTAAAGGATCACAGGGTTTGGAATATGATATTCCAGAAGGCAAAAGAACTTGGATTACAACCAAGAATCAAGTACCCAGCGAAACTGAGCATAATCTTTCAGGGGAAAGGATGGATTTTCAGTGAAATAGGGGACTTTCAAACTATCCTGATGAAAAGATCATAGCTGAACAGAAATTTTGATTTTCAAATACAAGACTCAAGAGAAGCATAAAAAGGTAAACAGGAAAGAGAAAAAAAAACCCATAGTATTCCATAACGTTAAACTGTTTACATCCCTACATGGAAAGATGATGCTTGCATTTCCTAAGAACTGTGTCTCTGTTAGGGCAGTTAGAAGGAGTATACTTAGACAAAGGATGTGACTATAAGTTGACTTTTATGTGAGGATAAAAAAAAAATTATTAAGGAGTAAAAAAAGATTTGTAGTAGGAGAAGAGGAAATGGAGAAGGCAGAGTGGGGTAAATGATATCACATGAAGAGGCATGAAAGACATATTACAGTAGAGGGAAAGAAGGGAGAGGTGAGCATTGTTTGAACCTTACTGTCTTCAGATTTGGCTCAAAGAGGGAATAACATACACACTCAGATGGGTAAAGAAACCTGTCTTGCCCAACGAGGAAGTAGAAGGGGAAGGGGAAAAGAAAAGGGGAGTGATGATAGAAAGGAGGGCAGATTGAAGGAGGCTGTGGTCAGAAGCAAAACACTGGTGAGGAGGGACAGAGTGAAAAGAGAGAGAAAAGTATAAATGGGGAAAATAGGATGGAGGGAAATACACAGATAGTAATCATAACTGTGAGTGTGAATGGGATGAACTTCCTCCATAAAATGGAAGCAGATAGCAGAGTGGATTAAAAACCAGCATTACACAATACATTGTTTAAAAGAAGCACATTTGAAGCAGAGACACACACAGAATTAAGGTAAAAGGCTGAAGCAGAATATGTTATGCTTTAGCTGAAGTAAAAAAAGAAAAAGCAAGAGTAGCAATCCTGATCTTAGACAAAGCAAAAGCAAAAATAGATCTAATTAAAAAACACAAAGAAGGAAACTATATCTTGCTAAAAGTTACCGTAGATGATGAAGTAATAGCAATACAAAATATATATGTACCAAGTGGTATAGCGTCCAGATTCTTAGAGAAGTTAAGTGAGTTACAGGAAGAAATAAACAGGAAAACTATACTAGTGGGATACCTCAACCTCCCCCTCTGAGAACTAGATAAATCTAAACACAAAATGAACAAGAAAGAAGTTAAGGAGGTGAATAGAATTTTAGAAAAGTTAGTTATGATAGACCTCTGGAGAAAATTGAATGGGGATAGAAAGGGATATATATATAGATACATATAGATATATATATATATCTATATATACACACACACACACACACACACACACACACACACACACACACACCCCTTTATCTATGTGGTACATAGTATCTACACAAAACTGACTGTGTATTAGGGCATAAAACCCTCAGAACCAAATGCAGAAAGGCAGAAATATTAAATGTGTCTTTTTCAGACCATGATGCGATGAAAATTATGTGTAATAAAAGGCCATGGA